GCTGGTCTTGAACTCTCAATGATCCTCCTGCCTCAGCCTCCCAAGTGCTGGGATTATAGGCATGTACCACCATGCCCAGCTACATAATCTTTGAAGCATACAAAAGGTTTGTGCATTATTGATACATATTTATAATGATAATATAACAGCATAATGATAAACGCAAGAGGGTAAAGGCAGGCAAGGGTTCAATACACCATCTTGCATATTTGTAATAGTGGATAATAAAAATATAGTTTAAAGAGGAAATGCATGCCTAAGAAACTTAGGAAAAGGTATTGATGCATGAGCTGAAAAGGTATAACCTAATTTAAAATAAATGAAGGTGATGAAGAGGAACACAGGATAGAAAGTGTCAAGCACATAAATGAAATTTTGGGAAACATTCTTCACTACTATATTTATGGAAAGAAAATAGATATTCTTCCTAAGTCCTAGTAAACAGGTCATTTGTTACTGCACTGCTCACTCTGTGATATTCCAGTTGAGGAAACTTAATTTCATTGACATGTCCACTCACTAGTACTTTGCATACACACAGGGATTATTTTCAGAGGATATTTCTCTTCTGTTTAGGCAAAGTGCCTATAGAAGAGTATGTAACTTACTCGTAAGTGAAATGAATCAGACCCACATGTGTAAACATCATATTGTCTTCTAGTGTAAGAACCTGAAAGAGTAAATAAAACACAAAATGTACAATATATTTTATGAAAAGGAAAGAAATTGCTCAAAGGAAGGAACAATTGGGATGATGGAAAGGAGAAAAAGAAGAAAGAAGGAAGAGAAAAAGTATATCTGGGGTAACTGTATTGGTGATGTCTAATGGTTTATTGAAAGGAACAGTTAATGCCTAATTTTTTTGACCAATTTTGCATGCCTATATCTGATAATCTGAACAACTAATTTGAAGATAACAAAATGCAATATAATAACCATTGGTGAATTCCTACCATCTTGTCTAGTGAAATTCTGTATCATTTCTAAATTTTTTGTTTTTATTTTTTATTCTCTTTAATGGTTTGATCAATCTTGCATTCTTACATCTGGTAATCTGAGCAACTTTGTTGAAGATAATAATATGTAATATAACAACACTGTTAATTCCTATCATTTTGTTCTAAAACGCAGTATCATTTTTATTGTTTTGACTTTGTTTTGTTTTGGTCTATGTTGTTGGTATTTTGCTATTTTTTTTTTTTATGATTCTCTTTAAAATAAAAAGATTGGCCTCAGTCAAGTAAAAAGAGTATGTAGGTGTAATTTAATGGAGCAGTAATGGTATGTGTTTTGCATACTACCCAGGGCCAGGTTATTTGTTTATCTTTCAGGTTACTTCCTATATCAAATCTTTAAACTGACCCACTTTTGTTATCAATGGAATAATCTTGAACTGTGACTGTTTGCCTGATAAAAGTAATTTAATTTGTGCTACAGCACTCTGTATGGTTTTAAGGAAAGAAAGAGTCCTTTTAAGATTAAAAGGAACCATTATGATAAAGAAAACCGCCTTCAAATCTATAATTACGATTAAATTAATCATCTTTTCCTCTTTAAGCACATTATTTTACACAGGCATTAAACATATTCAGATGATGTTGCACTGGATTAAGAGGATTAATGACTAGCCTCCCTTCTTTGTCTGCCAAAGACTAGCTGAGAGTTTACTTAGTAAGGGATCAAGCATCAAGCTAAGAACTTTCTCTGGTAAGAGGAACTAAAGGATGCAAACTGAAAATGAAAAACTCTGCCTTCTTTTCCTTAAATTGCTGAAGATAGATATGTGCCAGTAAGTGATGTGAATCTATTTCATCTGCTAAAACAAAGACAACATTGAAAGTCATGTTTTTTTCTCCTTAATACCTTTTCTGGCACACTATTTATTTTTTAAAAGACACATGAAGAAAAAATCACAACAGCAGTATCTGGAAGAGATGGTCTTGGCTTTCCAGTTGATCTCCTTCACCTACATCTGGATCACATTAATGCCATATGCTTTTGCTGTTTCTGATATCAAGAAGCACCCCCAGCGTTGCTCCTCTTCAATGAAGCAAACCCGGTAAGATATCCATAGTAGAGTCCATGCAGTTATGTGGTTTTTCTCGCCAGCTGCCTCAGATCTACTGGAAATCAGGAAACACCCTTAAAAGAAATACATCTTTCTGACAGTGTCTGTCTCTGAAAATAACATTCATTCATCGAAATAAATCACCTTGGGTTGATATCTGAAAGAGCAGAATCGTGCATTTCCCTTGGCTTCTGTATACTTGCTTATATTTATTTTTAGAGAAAATAATTAAATGGTTCATGTTATGTAAAGATCCTCTTTCAAGGAACTTATTCATTTAATATTGATGTATTTACTATTAATGACACTTGTTTAATATTGCTTCAAACTTTTTTGAGTAAGAGGTAATCTAAGCACTAACTTTTTTAATGTCAAGTACTTGCCAGGTATATGGTTTCATAGGTTGCTGAGATATTTTCTAAATGTTACTAAAGCCATTTGTTGTCTTTTGAGAATAGCTTTCATACATTTACAATCATTCTGAATATCAATGTGTTATCATTATTATTTAGCCATTAGTAACCAAGAGCTGCCTAGATGTACAGTAAAGAAGCTAGCTAGCAGTCTCTTATAGTGACCAGTTCACCATGCGTAACTGGGACTTTTCAGGATTTAGCACAAGAAGTTCCAGGAATCCCCTTTAGCCTGGCAGATTAGAAAGATTGGTTGCTCTACTACACATATACCTTTAAGAAACAAAAAATGTCTCAGAATCTCTCCCCTTTGTACAAGATTTCAAGACCCAAAAAAAGGCATAGAAGATGAAGATGAGTAATATCCATCAACCCCAGCAGTCAGTGGAGTGACAGAAGTCCCTGCTGATCTGCCCTCACATCTTGAGTGTCACCATAAGGTCAGGAAACAGAACACAAAAGTTGAATAATTATCTTTAACATTTCAGGATTAACAACCATGACAAAAAGAGATGGGAACTAGATTTGATTCCTTACCTGCTTTTAAAAATCAGGGGCCACTTTCCACAGTTGCCTTGCATTTTTCCACTCCAGACCTCAGACCTAAGATAATATAAGGTCTTGTACAGTTTAACAATTTTTGGAGTCTTCTCTAAGGTAATTGGGCAAGGAAATATTTGGAAAATGTCAGGTTATACCACTAGGCTATGTATTTTTTTAGACTGTATAAAATATTTATGAGGTATATTTTACCTAACTTTAAAATAAATGGAAACTGCTTTAAAATATCATCTGCCTTTTAAAGAAAGACTGTCCAGTCTGATTGGTAGATGTTTAGATAAATTTGTCACAGGAGTGTTAACTTATCCCACTGGCCCACTGTCTTGGTTACTTTTTTCTCATTGCTGGGACAAAATACCTGACGCCCAAAATTAAGGAAGGAGAGGTTTATTTCGCTTACAGTTTGTGGAGGTTTCAGTCCGTACTTGGCAGATTATAAGGCAGAGTGGCACATGGCAGAGAGCTACAGCTCAGGGAGACAGAACACAGCAAAAGCAACAAGCACACACCAGGGAGGAATGGGGGAGGAATGGCCTCAAGCACTCTTTTCCTCTCCCTTACATATGCAAACTATCCACCCCAGGGCGGGTGCAGCTCTCACACCCATAATTATCAAACTGTAAAAGCCTGCCCCATGACCACATGAGGCTTTGGGGGGACACACAGACATAAACCATAACACCCACTGTCAGTGGCAAAGTTGCTACAGAAAATCTATAATGTGTACTTTTTAGGTGCTCCTTTAAATAGCACTAGGAGAACATCAGTTCTTTGAGGTGAGGTGGGAAAATTTTATTATGTTAAATGGATCGTTTTAAATCTTTTAAAACAAGAGAAATTGCAGACGTTGCAAGCCAGATTTTCCCTAGAGGAAAACGCAGGGTTGCTGCTATATGAAACCAAACAAGTTTGTTTTCACTTCTCTACAGCCTAAGTAGGTGCCTTTTGAGCCACAAGCTAGAATATGATTCATTAAAATTTATATCCACTTCCTTTGTTCTTCAAAGAAGAATCCTCTAGAGTATCAGGGACTGAGTAAGCATTACACTGGTTCAGAAGCAGCTGCTTAGAATGAAGCCAAAGCATTTTTCTTGCATGAAAAAGGATAATTCAGCCAGCCAATTTCTGAGTTGTCGCTCAGCACTGTCATGCAAATATTTACAAATTCAACAAAAAATACAGAAATTGTTATAGGATAAATCCAAGAGAAAGGAGTTTAGGAGTCTTCATACTTTAGTATGTGAATAAAAACTGTGAAATTCTTTGCCAAACACCCAACCTGATTACAAATAAATACATAATGAATCGGCTAAAAATTCTCCCTTTCAAAATGCAAGGCAACTAACAGAGTGATCATGAAAGGAAGACACAGACTTTCTTTGAGAATTATGCAATAGATCTATTTGCATTACTTTGCATTTATACACATTATTTTGAGCTGCTTTTCTATTTTAAAGAGAAAAAATAATAATAAAATAATAATAACAAAAATGAAACAACACAAAAACAATAAAAATGATATGGAATTTTAAAACAAGATGATAGGAAATTAACAGTGGTTATTGTATTACATATTGTTACCTTCTGCAAAGTTTGAACCACTTTTCACACAATGTTTAAGTGTTTAGCTATTAGCTATTGTCAGTCAGCATATAACTTACATTTTATTTAAAGATTCTCTTTCTTTTATTTAAAGATTTTTTTAATCTTTAAATTAATATTTTCTTTTTCAAAACCAGCTAGGGAGGGATGTGAATAAAGAAAGCTATAGCAAGTTTTTAAAAATCCTTCTTTTGCTTAGGGAAAAAATATGGTCCCCTGGTAAAGTAAAGATGAGTAGATATATAGATTTACTGAATATGTATGCATAGTTTCAAAAGTTTCATTGATAGGCTTTGTGTCTATCAAGTGCAGAATTGAGGGATAAGGATATTGTAGGAACAACACGAGTGGCTTTGAAAAAAATCAGAAAAATGCTCAAACCAGCTTTCAAGAACCAACAGTTAAATTTTTTGGAAATTTATGAGCCAGTTGTTAAAACCAAGCACTACTAAGAATTACATTATATAAACTACTTAATAAGTTATTTTATAGAGAATATATATTTAAAACCCATCACTTTCTAATTATTTTACTGTGTTTTACTGTTATCTGTTAGCTTTGACTCTGTTTGGATCTATTATATTTCTATGGTAGAATTATTATTACAATGAACTATTTTCCCATACCATACCATCTCATATCATACCATACCATACTAGTCTATATACTATACTAGCCGATGCAATAGCATGATACACTATGCAATGGACTACACACAATTCTGTCACACATGTTACTATCTAGAAATGGGCAGTGGCAAACACTGTAAACCAAACTCAACTTTTTTCAACCCAGACAGCCACTTGTTAAATATTTGCTAGTACATCCCTGAACATACTGGGAAAGGTGGGAGGGCCTGGGAATTGCAATTCAGTGCAACACTGTAGGAGTAATGGATTTTGCATGGAAAAAATACCAGTAATTTCAATCATGTTTTCTTTTAAGAGTTAGCTTTTAATCTTTATTCATGTGGCTACCTGATTTTTTCATATTTAAAATTAGAGAATATAAATGATTTTGCATCTTTTTAAGCGTTTTCCATATAGCCTCATTGATATCTTAATGGTATTTTTAATCACTGCATTAAAGAAAAGAAGAAACTGAATAATATTGAATATTTGATATTGAACATTTATTTTTAAAATTGCATTTTCATAAATAACACCAATAAATAGCTGTATGAATGTATTTTCCTCTTATAAATAAAAATTGTAATTGTTCTGCAACTGAATTACTCAATCAAAGCATATAAAATGTCTTTCTGCCTCCTGTGATAAATTTCTAAAAGGGTTTACTAATATTTGTTCTCCCAACTGCAAAGCATAAATGTTTCTATTTCATCATATCTTTATGAACATGGCACTAACATTTTTTTTTGGTCTTTTCTTCATTTAAAATGGTATAAAATGGTAATAGTGGTTTTAATTGGTATCTCCCTTTTCCGTTAAATAATTTCAAATATGATTGTTAATTATATTGTCCCTTGGGCAATCCATTCATGTCAGGCCTAGTTGATTTCATGTTAGGATCCTAGTCAACTAATCAAATATATAGTCCTCCAAGCCATTGCAGTTTTATAAAGCAGCCAACTGAGCATTTATGACTTAATTAAGATGAGTTTCTTTTTCATTTCACTGGAGTTCTAAAGCTCAAGTGTATCAGAACAAAAGGTGTGCTTAACTTTTCCCAAGATTTAGTACATTTTAGTTCTCTGCCTAGTATGTTCTCTTCAAAGACCAAAAACTCTCTTTATGCCTTCTAAGGCCACTCAAAATCTAGCATTTTTAACCTCCAGAATCTGCTCTTTCCTAGTTATAAAACTAGAGTTTCTGACACAGAGAAGAGGGAGCAGATAGAAATATGATTCTTTGTATAATCCATGAAGAAAAAGGTCATAAGGCAAAGAGAAAAACCATCATTATTCCCAAGATTTACACCTACTGTTTCTCAAACAATGCTTATAGAGTCTTGTGGGCAGAGGCAAACATTTAGAATGCTGACATACTCATCTTTCACAAATTGAGATTCTTTTGCTTCATTCCATGGGAATTCAGAATTTCCAAAACAGCCTCTCCTCAGATAGAAGTTGTCCAAAGGCATTCTCTTAGTAACTACTAAAAAAATGAAGTCGTTTTTTCTAGAATGGGGTAGAGGACAGAAGACACAAGTGTTTAAAAATGATACATACATGGAATAAGACTCAAAAGCTCTGAGTTAAACCTGATGCTCCATTGCATAGTAACCCCTTTGTTACTCACAGCTCCTCCTGTCTTCTTTGTCTATTTTATTTCATTCTTCATCTTACTAACCTTTATGTGTTTTTTTAATAAGCCAGACCTTCAAAGCTGGCAGCTGTTATTCTGTGTATAACGTATCCCTAATGTTACCCACAAGCTATCCAAGGGGCATGTAGATAAGGATAACATTTTTTTGAACAATTTGTAGAGTTTTAACTTCCTCATGACCTCTTTGCTAAAACTGAAACTCACCTGTGATCTCCTTTATCCTTTCCTTTAATAATTACTCTGCCCCGCTTAACAAAATAAAAATAAATGTCTCTGTTTTCCTAAATCTATGTGCATTTCCTGGTGTTTAATAACTTCCTGGATACAAGGAGAGAAATATAAATATTATTGTGCTGTGCTTGCTTTGGTAGCACATGTTTTTCTTGAAAAGATGTATGATGAGATGACAAAGTTCTAAGAAAATTGGAAATACAAGTTCAAAGAAAGTAAGAAATGACATAAAATTTCTAATATTTTAAAGAACTTGTTCATATATTTTAAGATGCTGTAGGTAGATATTTAAATTTATTAGATACATTTAAAGGAGAAACATATTTTCTTTTAAATTATCAATGTTTAAGTATTTTTAAAATTTATAATAAAAATTGTACATGTCTATTTAAATATGTGGGAAAGAGAACATAGATTTTGAATATTCTTTTAGAAGATATACAAGCAACCAATTCTTTCTGGGAAATAGTACACACAAAACAAAGCAAAAGTAGGTAAATATGGAACATCTTCCTTTGCATGAGACAAACCCTCCGGTATGAACAGGTGTGGGCTCTAAAGCACCAAGAAAGTGATTCATGACAGGCTTTGTGTTCAGTATGTTTGGGATTCTTAATTAAAATTTTAACTGTTTCAATCTCGTGAAGAGGTATTCTTCTGAAGTGACATAGTAGTGACATGTCATTTAGCTGTATTTAAAAACACACACGCAATTAGCAAAGGAGTAATTCTCATGAGTTTCCAAGCAAAGTTACATTTGTATTTTCCTTAAAATAATAACAAGTAGCTAGCTTTGTGAAATGTCTACTGTTTTCTAGGGCAGTGGTTCTCCTGAGAAATTATTATAATTGCAAATTCTTATACCCAAAACCACTGAGTCAAAACTCCGGGCATGGGGCCCAGGAAATCAGATGAACTGGATGTATGCCAAAGAGGATAATACTTACAAAACATCTGGCATAATGCCTTGAACATAGTAGGCATTTAATAAAAGCCAGCTGCTACTATTTTTAATAAATAGTTCATTCTAGCTCCCTAGGAGAATTTTTCTAGTTAATTCTAGCTCTTTGGAAGAAATAGTCCTATGTGTTCAATTATTCATAGGATGTAATACAGTTTAAATCAAACTGCCCATATTCAAAACAGATTTCCTCTCCCAGCTTCTTCATTTCTACCATGGGAAGAAATACATCATCAGTAAACCACTGAGGTTTCAACCACAAAGTGTCCTGTTGAAAGATGACACATGGTGATATATGCCTGCATGTATTTCTTCTACAAGCTCTTCAGGATCTGAAATTCTTCCCACCAAAAGTACCTTACTGGGTTAAGAAATTGCCTCCAATATGAATTCTGTTACAATTCACATTGTTTTTTTATAGAAGATATTTGTTAATGAAAATGTGTATCATGCAATCAAAGTCCCTAGAATTCACCTAGTGCACTCTGAGTCTTTGCTACTGCTGCTGTTAACCATAACGAGGGTGAGAATGCCAGGCATGATTTCTAGATGGGGGATCTGAGCAGGGTCTCCTGCACCAGCAGATGGCTGCAAGTCATTCACGGAGGAGCTGTGCTCTAGCAACCTCCTTCTGTACTTGCAAAGCCCCTGGGATGTAGGCTCCTCCCAGCCGGAAATGAGTCAGAAAGGTCCAGTAACTTGCCAAATTTCACAGACTCAGAGGAAAAAAGACTTTGTTTCCACATCAGAATACTTACAGAGAGGTCACTCTCCATTTTGCCTTTGCCCTAGAGAAATGTAGGTAAAAGCAGACCTTATCTATTTTATACCTGGTCTTGCATTAGTCAAAGTATTGCCACACCTTAAATTCTAGTTTGTTTGTTTGTTTTAAAACAAGATCTAACTATGCAGTTCAGGATGGCCTTGAGCTCACTTTGTAGTCAAGGCTGGCCTTGAACTCGCAATGATCATCCTGCCTCAGCCTTCTGAGTGCTGGGATTACAAGTGTGTGCCACACACCCAGCTTTCTAGTTTAGTTTTTCAGTTCTAGTTAAATTCTGTCCCCAGTCTAGCTAACCCCCCATATTTTCTGGTTATTTTGTCTTTGTAAAAACTTTTTCATCAGTATAGAATTTTGCAATGTTTTTAAATTTTATCACTATTTAGTGCAGAGATTATTTAACTTCAGTGATTTCAAGAGTCACTTAAGTATTTCCTTTAAATTCAGGTTCCCAGGCTCTGACTTAGTTGATCTGAAAAAGAAGTCCATGAATTCTGACCACCTCCACATAGGCAATTAGGGTATCCCAAGTCTACAAACTAGATTATGAGAAACATTGCCTATTGTGCATTTAATTCATACTCAATTTGTCATTTAATGGTGCTCTAAAATTTCATTATCTACTCCACATTTACAAAACAAATGTTGAACATTCTTTGGCTTAATATGAACTGACAAAATGACCCTTTATGAATTTATGTTAGAATATACTATATGGAGCATAAATGACTAAACCAAATGAAAATATCCAGAAGCATATGTCTCTCAAAAGAACTCTTTTTCTTTGGGGAGAACAGCAAACAAGAAACTAGAATGAAGAAAGATGACAGTACCAAAGTGTGGCCCCTGAAGTATCAGCAACTTCTCCATATAGAGGGCCATGACTTTTCATTGAGACCAGGATTTGGAGGTGAGTATTACCTGTAAAGACTCGTTAAAACTCAACGTACTCTCAAAATGGAGTTGAAATTTTTTAGCAAGTAAAGCCAAAACACAAGTAAAATTATCAGTTTTTTAAAGTGATTATCTTCTCTTAAATAAACAGTTGAAAATGTATCCATTTAAATTGACTCTACGACTTATATTCTAGTATATACACCATTATAAGAAGAATGTGCTGAATAAATAATGGACAGATATATTCTGCTTATATACAGACTTACTGTCTCAATTATGAACTATAACTTGAGTTACATGGTGATGCTGATAACTTCTTGCATGTTCTTTCAAGCTGAAGTACCTGGCTTTCATGGAGCAATTAGAGTACGTCAAATGCTATATGGCTCACTGTGAACCAATTCAGCTGAGTTTGTTTTCTGTCACTTTTAGAAATAAAAATTGATAAAAATGTTAAACAGGCACAGTGTGAGTACCTTTAGCCCAGTGTGCTATTCCACCTTAACAGTGACCCCGTGAAATAGGAGTTGTCATGATCCTTAATATTCCAGTGTTGAAGTTGAGGTGTAGAGAGGTTAGAAATTCAGTAGAAACTATGAAAGTAAGTGGTAGACCAACATACAAAACACACGGGCAAGTGGACAGGATAGAGGAAGCCAGTGGGAGAGGCGATCCTTGAATCAGAGCCTTCTCCCTTTCAAAGTGTTCAACATAGTCGCATCACTGAAGGCATCGTGTTTTCTAGCAATGTGCACGATGTGATGAGACCAGCTGGTAACCAAACCTCAGAATCCACTTGACTCTTTCTTCATTGACCCAAAGTCTCTCTCTCCCATAATTCCTGAACTGACAACCTTTAAGAATCATGGAAACAAAGTGGAGATGAAGGAGGTACAGATGAGGGTGAAAAGCAGGATGCTGTAGCAGTTTTTTATGAGTAATTAACTTTTCAAGATGGGATCGGGAAACTTTAGACTCTTGACATATTATGGTTCTGACCAAAGCATGCACAACGGGTAGGTGGATGTCATAGAGAGCTAATTTGTTAACAGTAAAAATACAAAAATATGTCAGGTAACTGATGAGGATTGGTGTTGTTTGTTTGGCTGGTTTGGTTTGCATGCTTAATATCCTGAAATATGCTTAATATGCATAATATACTGAGCTGCAGTTAAGGACCTGACCTTAATATCATAACTAGAACTTCCCTGAGCATTAGAATCACCTGGAAGATTAATATGCCAATCCCTGGGCCTCACCCCCAGCATTTCTGACCCCTTAGATCTGGATGAGGCCAAACACTGGCACTTCTATAAAGTTTCTAGATGATGCTGATGCTGTTAGTTTGAGAAAGACATGTTGAAAACCACTGCATTGGATTATCTGTATCATATTACATTTTGGTGAGTTCAATTTTGTTTTCCAGAACATTGACCACACTGTTAAATCTCACCTTAAGGTTTTAGAAGCCGTGAAATTAAGCAGGGCTGAGAATTTTTTCCTATTTTTTCTTTCCGAGATTCTTTTTCTCTATTTCACTATTTCTCAGATTCATCATTCCCACCACAATTCTAAAAATGCTTGAGCCCTTAACTATGAGTCTGAATAGACTATTTCTTATCCTAAAAGTTCCCAAAATTTTTATAACATGCTTTATATCTATCATTCAAGTATGCTCTACCTTGGTTTCTATGATCTATAAAAATTTGTAAAACCTTTCCTGTATCATTTAACAATAATTTTCAAGTCAAACTTGTTCGACGATGGTCCTCACCAGGCACGAGGAGATGCCAGTTGCACGGGAACGGCTTGAAACTGTTTCGGGCACCGCAGCTGGAAGCTGAACATCGCGTCCTCTTTTCAACACCAATTCCAAAATCTGTCCTAATTCCGATCAGGACAGGTTCCTCCATTAAATTACTTTCTGTTGTAGAGGAATGGGTTCTGTAGGGATTATTTTAGGTCACTGAAAGCCAATAAGAATGACAGAAAAAAGACCTTGAACATGGACCTTAGAAAAACAGCTCTCAGGTGACTTGTCGCTTAAAAGTGCTTCAAGAACCGGCAGTAGAAAGACCTGTGTTTTAGAATAAATGCAGAAGCTCAGCTCCCAGCGCAGGGCTTCTGAGTGGAAATCTGCGTTGTTTCAGGATCCCCAGGTGATTTCCACAGGAATGAGTGACGGGCTGAGAACCAATGCTGCTGGCCTAAGCCATGCCCTCCTCTTTTACCTTAAATTTTCTTACCTTCATTCTCCATCCCCTATATCATCTCCAGCCGCCAGAAAAAAAACAAAAAATTGACCTTAAATTTCCACTTTGCATGATCTGTTAGAGATATACGTTAAGATTTTTTTAAGTGGTAACACATTTTTAAAAATATTTTTTTCCTGAGGCTATTCCTTTGTGAGGTTATTTAAAAAGTGCTTGAAATCTGCTATTTTTGACAGGCAGCAAATCATCTCACAATTCAGAAATCTTTTTGACAATCCTAAGCTTGGGCTAAATGGTGCTTCCATAGCGTGTGTGTTCAATCATCTCAGGCAGAAAAATCCTTAAGTTCAGTGAGAATTGTCACTTTGGTAGCTGCAAAATATAGGCCTTAAGCTTCTCTTGCCTGTCTTGATCAGAGCAGCTTCTCATATAGTGACCCATTTCTCTGTTCTCTCATGGATGCTTTCCTCGGGGAAATCAGATTGCAGGATATAAAAGACAAACTTTAATTTATTCTCTCCTTCATTACACTTGTCCATAACTCAAACACATGAAATACTTCTTTCCTCTTGAACCAAATGTAACTTCAGCACTTCTCTTGCCTTAATGTTTTCCTAATTAGCTTTAACATTAAAACCAGCTGCTTCTGCAATGTTTTTTACTTTTATAAAGCATTAAAAGATTAATTGACTCATTATGCAGAAACAAGAGGATGTAAATTTAGGGGAGGTTTTTGTTTAACTTGGGTAATAAATTGCAGGTCATTTTCTTTATTTATGTTTTCCCTACCCATTACATCTCCCACAACTAAGGGTTTTTTGTTTTAGTCTTACACATGATCATTTCTTTGTTTTTCTGAAGTGAAATCAGTTCAGCATCTAGGTACTGGCTACTGAGTTGAGACTAAAGCCCTAAAGTTATAAAAGCTGCTACACAGTCTTTGCTTGTCAAACAAGAGGAATGAGAGAGAGAAGGGTCTAGTTATATTCCGATCATTACCTAGCTTGAATTTCAGGCAAGTGTTTCGTAGTCTTCTCAGAGTGTAACTTCCTTCACATATCAAGTGAAGCTAAAACTGGGTCTACCAAGCCAACAAAGTGACTATAAGGATGGCATAATATAATGTATTTTAAATTCAATATAGTAATAAGATATATAACTTCTACTTAAGTCTCGTTATTCCAGCCTTCATAAAAAAAGATTGATGCCATATCTTTATGCATATAAAAAGGTTTATAAATGTATTGCTACTACCCAGTTAGTGATCCCAGAAAATTAATACCATAATCAGTAAGGTTAATGTTTATTTAATTTTATTATACTTTACAAACAGAATTAATGAAAGTATTTATACAATTATTATTATATATTCTGTTAAATTTATCACTGATTCAATTATATAGTAAAAAGTTAGTTAAAAAAAAAACATTTGAATGAGCTTAGGCTCTGGACTACACATCGATTGTTCACAGTTTCTCACAGCAACCCTATAGAGTTGGTACCATACATTTCCTCTATGTTACTAATTAGCAAACTGAGGTATGAGGAAATTAAGTGATTTGCAGAAGTTTGACTGTAACACAGGTTTATATGGCTACAAATTTCATGATTTTAACCCATCTGCTTTATTGCTACTTCCTTTCTGTGACTAGCTTATCTGTGAAAAAATGCTCTTTGGCCTTTTTATGCAGATCTGAAATTCTGTCACATTCTGTGCCTTGACTTTATATTCCCCTCACCCTTCACTCTGCCCTCAAGAATGCCAGAGCACAAATTTTTAGACACAGAAATGAGATGCGCTTGGACATGGAGCTCAGATGAGACAACAATGAGGACAGACAGCACCTGAGGGCACATACTTTCCATAGAAATGCAAGAGTTCATATCTCCAAGAACAGTATATATCTGGAGGAAGGAAAGAAGAAATCTAATGTATTTCATCAGCTCAGTGATATACAGAAAGCCATGTTTTAACTCCACTGTCAGACCCAGCCTTCAAACAAAACTAGGCTCCAGTGTTTGTCCAGCAGAGGCAGGGGTATGTCCTTGAAAGTATGTTTACAAGTATGTCTTAGGCTTGCAGAAGTAGTCACCAGATATTCTGATAGACTGATGTTCTCTGTGTTCTAGGGTTTAGTTTCAGGACCAGTACAACCACCCCCACAAATAGCCAAATTTGTGGGTGGTCTCTTATGCAGAATGGCACAGTACTTTCATACAACCTATGAAAACCCTCCCATAGCCTTGAAGTCATTTCTAGATTGCTTGTAATACCTAAGAAAACAGAAATGCTGCCATTGTATCATTTAGGGAGTAATGACAATTTAAAAATCTATACATGTTCAATACATACACAATTTTTCAAGTACTTTTTATTGATTGAATTCATGGATACAGAGGGTCAACTATACTGAAAAGTCACAAGATACTATATTCAAGTTGTTCTCTTTTTTTTTTTCCAGAACATAAGTTGAGAGAAGCACTCTATTATTTTTTAAGGAAGGAATAGACTGATCATCAGGTTAATAATATCCCTCAACCTCCCAAATGAGTGTACATCAAAAGCTAAATAAAAAGAGGCAAATGGTAAGATTTCAGGGCTCCAGGAAGATCAAAGCCTTCTCACAGAATTCAGGATTCCCTTGGGGCTAAGACCAAGACCTTCTCCGGGTGGTTTGTGTATTTATTTAGTTATCAGAAGAAGGGAAGGGAGTACTCAAGAAAGTCAGAACCACTCAAGGATTTCTCCAGAGTAAGATATTAAGTTAATCTACCCAGGTGTGAGACACCTGAGGCTATAGTCTTTATCTAGTTAAGACTGGATCCAGGTGTCCTTAGCTGTGATCTTGTCTTATCCTTTGAGGCTTTCTGGCTTTATCCACCATTACAGGTTTTAATGGGGATCAATGACTCACAGAGGTTCACTTACTATGAGTCCACTGTTCATTTCCAGACCAGGAGCCTAGGCCTTGGACAGATTCACATGTAAACATGAAAAGCCAATTGGTTAATTTAAGTCCTGCTTGGGGCTGCTTCATATTGGTCTCCAGTAACTGATGTTCAAATTTTGAGAGTGGGGTTAGGAATAGTGGCCTGCACTCCATGAGGCAGATTTGCATTTTTGCATAATGGCAGTAGTAGTAACATTTATCTTGTGCTATGTATTGAGCACCAGTTAAGTTCAGTAACTGTATTATTCCTAGTCCTCAAATAAATTTCTTAGATATTACACTCAGATTTTACAGAGGAGGAACTAAGCTTAGAGAAATTACCTACCCTACATCACACAATGGTGGTGAAGTTGTTCGAATTCTAGTCTATGCAACTCTAGTGTTAAAATTTTATCCACCCTTCCAAGATCTTTCCAAATCTTTTATTCCTATAAATATTGGGATTAATGGAAAGGTTTACTGCCATGAAGTGCCAGGCAAAACCAGGAACAAGATGTTTTCATAAATTTTTATTTTGATAATTCTAATTTAAAAGGCTAATAAAGCAGAACCATGTGAAGGAATAATGTTGAACTAATATTTGCAAATTAATCCTTAATCATAATTGTCAGTAAAAAAATGTTATTTATAGAATTATTGTTGTAGGAAGAAATGATTCAATATGGAAGTAAGAAGTTTGTGGTTAAGAGCAAGTGAGGTGTTGCTGAAGGCTGAGGCTGGAGTATAGTCCAGGGATAGGACCTGTGCCGGCCAGTTGAAAGCCTTCTAAGTAAGGAGTGATGCTGAGGGTATGGACTTGAGGGACACAGAGGGAATTTTATGTTGGTAAGGTAAAGATAACATAAGGCAACTAGTGAGGACATCACAGAAGAATAGCAAAGACTGGCAAGACATGGCTTGTTTCATACAAGAGGCTATGGAATCTCATGAATTATATTCACATGTGTATCCCATGTGGCACATCCTGGCATTACTTAGCCCACTAAGGAAGATTTTTAGGCCTGACATCTCTAAATCCAAGAATCTCTACTAGAACAACTACCTAGAAATTATCTACACATGATTTATGTTTTATCATCAATAACTGGAAGTCTTTTTTTAACTCGAGACTGTATAGGCATTAAGGTGTTGTTAAGAGTAACTTATGGAAAGAAAACAGGAAGAGTATGTATATAAATACAGAAATCATATATATGCATTCAGTTTATAGAAATTAACAATTATATGCATCAGATATCATACACAAAACTAGATGACATTATTAACATTAATTCTTCATACAGAAAATGATAAAACCTGTGGTTAACTGGAACCAGGAAATTTTATAGTCTAGTCTTAATTCCCTCGTGTTATTCTTCAGGCTTCCTAGGCCCATGATTGATGCTGGTGAATTCAAGTGCAAATAAGTCTCAGAGACTCTCTGTATGAAACTGCTCCAATTATGACTTTAGTATATTCTCATCAACACATTTCTGAGGATGTGTGCTTCTTCCCAAATGCAGCCTGTGGCTGCTAATGATCTGTGAAGGGACACCTCTGGATCTGTGATGTCCCTGTGTAGCACTGCACTATCATCTGAGTGCCTCTCTTCTGCCAATCACTATGCAAGTGAAAAAGCCTTGGTTTTTGGCAAGCAAGCAAAGGTTTCAACATAGCTCAGAGTCAAGGACCCTATATGATACTTCCTGGCTGTAGATATGACCATGACCACATAAAATGCATAATTCTACATATTCAGATATTCTAAAACCTTGTTCCTTTGTAAACCAGTACTAGCTTAAAATGTTTAAATAAAACTGGAGACACCAGTTCTACGTTATGGAATGAAAATACTGAAATATTCCCAAAGAAGTGAGTAATGATTATCAGAATAGCATTTATTTGAAAATGTTCCTTTATGATTATAACTGAATTATAATGACTGTTTCCATAGATAATGGAAAAAGTTGTCATTTATAAAAACTTGAAAAGTATTTCATTTTATTCTCTGTTCTGAATGTTTCCAAAGTGTTTGTAATGAATTTCTCAGTATATTGTCTATTCTTCTTTATGAAGGGTCACCAGTCCCAGTAGGTATAGATGTCCAGGTTGAAAGCATTGACAGCATTTCAGAGGTTGACATGGTAAGTTTCTCCATGAGCTACTGGTCTTTTCTGAAAAGGCAGACTTAATAGTGGCAAAATCACTGGTGTTTTAATAAATGTTTTAGTTACATCTGTTATTTATCTTTCCCACTTTGCTTTATAGTAGAATTGTGTTTGCTTTACTCTCTTATCCACATATTCAACCTTTGATTATGCTTATCTTTCCAACTCATTTTTTACCTCTAATGGCTTTTCGGTGGTGAAGCACTGTGGAACATCATGATATATGTATCTATGTCCTTTGAACTGAGAAAAAAACATATAAAGATAGTCACGATACATCTGCAATATAAAATCATGACCCTGAATCCTTACCTATAAGATGATAGAAAATTGAACCGTTTCATAGACAGTATCCAGACATTTCAAATGATATTACTAAATGATTATGCTTATCTGTGAACCAATAGTAGAAGACAATGTTTTTTTTTTATTTGATGACTAAAACTTTTAAGAAAATTTTTGTCAATTTCTTTATATGGTATGGGAGTTATCTTTCAGTGAAAAATCCGTATTTTATGGAATATTATTAGTCAAGCTCTGTTCATAAAACATGATACTAACCACTTCTTTTTATCCTTTTTCCTTTTAATCATTTTTCTGTCTCCTATGACATTTAACACACTTGCTTTTTATAACCCCCTTTTCTCCCTTGACCTGGTTTACCATTTTATCTAGTATTGTGTTATCATATCCTCATTGCCATAATTTTGTCATTTTGTTTTCTCTATTCCTAATTTAGAACCACCTTCCCTTTCTGCATAATTATCAGAGCTATTTTTCATTTAAGGAATTTTCAGCATTATTCAGAATTTTACACTAAGAAAGAATAATTAATACTGTGGCTAATTTCTCAGAACAAGCACTGGTATACTTGTTTTCAGATACATAATTTATTTCTGCCCACTCCTGCTAATTTATTAATGCATCTCAGAGTTTTGTCTAACCCCCCTTAGTTTATTTTTATACACCAAATGAAGAATGCACATATGTTTTCTAATTTTCAATGTTTTCTTCCGTGTTCTTACCTAATTGCTGCATGTCCTTATTTCTGAGTCACTCTCCCCATTTCATTTTGCTCTCCCCAGTTCTGCTATCTTTTTAAAAATCCCTTTTAAATGTGTTTCCTTTGCTTCTATCACATGCAAGTGGTAATGACAGTACCTTGTAAGTAGTACTAGCACTTAGTAAGATGCAGTTTATGGATATGTTTTGGATATAGTTTGCATTTTAGTTCTATGCCCTCACTGACACACCCAAAGTTTTCAACTATTTAATTTTGAATGCCTTTACATGGAGCCTGTGTCTTCTCATTGGCTCTAGAACTCAGGCCTTGATTTTCCTTAGACACAGCTTGTTTGTTACACTGAAGCCACTCACCTGGTTTTCAGAGTCTTTGAGATTCTCCTTCCTTTTCTGTTTTAAATATGGCAGCCTGGATTTGTGTTTGTTTATTGTTGTTTGGGGTTTCTAATTTTTTAAATTATACTGTATAAATATTGCATATGTTTACAGAATACACGTGATATTTCAATGTATACAATGTATACACTGTACAATCAGGATAAACAAATCCAAATAAATATCTACTAAGCATTTATCATTTCTTTATGGGGAAGACTTTCAAAATTCTTTCTTCTAGCTTTTTAAAATGTGTGGTACATTAATATTATCTAAAGCCACCTAACTCTGCAATACCAGAACTTCTTGCCCCTGTTCAATTGTAACTGATTACCCATGGATTCCCCACCCCACCCCTCCCCCCAGCTTCTCTCTCCAGCCTGTGGTAACTTCCATTCTACCCAAACGTCTAGGAGATCAACCTTTTTACATTACACGTACAAGACAGATTGTGTCTTTCAATGAAACCAACTCTTCCATGAATAGAGAAAAGTTACTCTTTTGTTTTTAAAATTCCATTTTCCATCCAAACAGATTTAATTCATTATTTACCCAATCTACCTACTTAATGGATACCTTTATGTAAATTAATCCTTGCACTTCATTTCCTTTTCTAGAATCTGTTACATATGTATTCTTAGGAAATTTTTAGAAATTGCTTTACATACTTTTTTAAATACAACATTTTGATACATAAGCTGTAACATGGTTATTATTATAGAATGTAGCCTGGAAACTTAGATTCCATATATTATTTTTATAAGCAAATACTACAAAAGATAAAAGTATAAGGCAGGGAGAGGGAGAAAGAAAACTAAGCAGGTCCTAAAAACTAAAAGTTACTAAAATCAAATCTTTTCATCTGTATACTTAATATTTTTATTTATAGTAATTCTTCAAAAAAACCTAACTGGATGAAAAATTTCAAGATGCATAAAAATTCCTGAAACATCTTAAAAAATCTATGACTCATTACATCTTATTTCTGACTATAAACTCTTCAACTGGTAGTTGTTCTAGTTTTTACCATTATCTAATCTGATATTTATTTCAGTTCAATATAGGTTAAGCTAAACTTTCTTCATTTTGCCACCACTCCCAAAGAAAACAAATTCATGCCAGTTAAATTCATTACTAAAAAATGCCTGATCCAGAAGGTTTTGACCCTTCCTTGCCCAAAGACAGTTGTATTACTAGTACTTCCTCATACTTGTTATATTGCAGAAACAAGCATTTATTTCCCTTCTTTTGCCATAATACTCAAGTCATCTCTGAATGACCCAATTGGTATCTAAAATTCTCACCATCTATTTCTGTAGGCTCTAAACCTGGACATCATCTTTATTCTCAAATAACTTTACTACCAGGTATTAGATAAAACTGTATTAACTATGCTCAATTTGAAAATGCTTTCTAATTATAAGTGATATTCACCCAACCCCCAGAATTAGCTTTTTAAATTTCTTCACAACCTTTCTTTCCCTACTCTGAATGCACTTTCAGTATCTTTAAATTTTGTCTCATTCTACTCCCAGCATGCTGTTCTGCCTGGCCTCATGACAGTGCCATCCAACATGACAGTGATGTATCACTGACATACACCAAGTTTGGCTATTTGACTTCATAAGCTCAGTTTTAGCTTCATAAGCTCAGTGTTTGTCCAGTGACCTTCAGATCAGACTGAACAATTCATTCTAAAGATATGCTTATTAAGGCATCCTGCAGTAACCCACACAATTCCCTGTAGGATAGTGTTATGTATAATGAATAAGTCATTCTATTTATTTGCCCTTACTGTAATACAAAATTACACATGGCTAATGCTTCCAGACTAATCCAGAGCAATAATACAATGTATTTCTATCCTGAACATAGTAAAAACAAACTAGTTCACAATTAACTTTCCTGAGACATATCCTTTGTATAATAAATACCAAAGTTTTATTATGTGGATTGCTTCAAGAAAAGATGGGTTTTTGTTGAGAACTAAAGACTGTAAGAGGCAAACAACTGGGAAAAGTAAAACACACTGTCACTGCCCAGAGCCAGTGATTTGGATCAAGCTAGCAGATTTTCTATTACAAAAAAAAAAAGATTTTCTATTCAAAGAACTAAAATGTTAACCATAATATCTGAAAGCCAAACAAATGCTAATATAGTTTTTCATCTCAACTTTATATCCTTACCCCTAAAACGCATAGAATAATTCAAATCCCCTAGCACTACTTAATGAGAATCCCTGGGAACTAGCTTCTAGGACATGTATCATCTTAACAAAAGTCACAGGTGATTTTTTTTTTTTTTTTTTTTTTTTGCACAATATACATGACAACTGCCTTTCATTTTTTTTTTCCCCTGTCTTTAGCTGAAGAACATCACTGTCTATTCCAGGACATCCGGCCACTTGCTTCCCACTAATTATAATATATAATATATCTGGGTTTTTGGAGGATTGTAGTTTATTCAATTTAAGTGACATACTTTAACAAAAATAATGCAAAATTATGAATGAGAACAATTCTTAAAGTGAATATTTATCTAGGTTAAGACAAAAATCACATAAATTAATGGACAAATATTGGAGTTTTATGTTCTGAGATCTCTTCAGGTTATATACTAGAAAGCTTACATAAAAATGTTCCCTATTGATGTCCTGACTACTCTTTTTCCCATTTGAACAATCTATAACTCCTAGAAACTGTTGACATTAACTGGATTCCACGTGAAGGAACTCAAAATTTAAGCTCATTAGCTTCACATTGCATTTACCTGGAAATACAATATGTACCATTCACTTACAAATTATTAACACCTGTGGGAACTGGTCCCGATTCTCATAGAGCAGTGATGATCCTCAGCCTCATTCCTGCTGGTTTTGATTGTTCTCTTTTTCTTTCTGCCCAGGATTTTACAATGACTTTTTACCTCAGGCATTACTGGAAAGATGAAAGGCTCTCCTTTCCTAGCACAACAAACAAAAGTATGACCTTTGATCATAGATTAATTGAAAAGATTTGGGTTCCAGATATCTTTTTTGTCCATTCTAAAAGATCCTTCATCCATGATACAACTATGGGGAACATCATGCTGCGAGTCCATCCTGACGGAAACGTCCTCTTCAGTCTCAGGTGAGGACGGCTCTCTGCTGCCTTTGGTTTCCTTGGCCTGCAACCATCCACACCAAAGCCGAGGGGTCTCTTTAGACTGAACTTACAACACTGCTATCCATTAAAAAGGTTGAAGACTGGGAAACAAGCAGAAGATGTGATTCTCTTGGTTCTAATATCCAAATTTTAAAGAATAGTTTCTAGTTCTAACTATACTCTGGACATATGGTGGTTGGACAAATAGAGTAGAGATGAGCTGTGAAAAATCCTTAAATGTGTAGCACACAACTTTACAGGCATGCAAACCTGTTTCTCCTCAGCACCACACCCCACTGCAACCTGCTGGGGTCTTGCACTAGCTATATAATTATCTTAACAAACACCTTTATTTTTTATGGGAAACCAGTCATTATCCATGCTAGCACTAATTTCCTCACTTCCTTTTTCTTTTTTCTATTTTTTATTTAAAGCAACACTCCTTGTTTATTGTCCCATACTTTCTTTTACCCAAATGAATCCTATAAATACTGATTAGCCTATAATAGAGATTCTAAAACTGGTAAATACAATCTATTTTATTTTATTTTATTTTTTATTTATTTTAAAGAGAGTAGTAAAAGAGAAACAAACAAACAAAGAAATAGAACAGTAACAGCATACCTGGCAGGGGAGATACCATGATCACAAACAATCTATTTTAAATGACCTAGGAATCTTAGAAATATTCTGTAGTAGGCTGAAAAATATAAGACCCCAAAAGATTCCCACATTGTTATCCATGGGATCTGTGAAAGTTATCATATATGGCAAAAAGCATACTTGCAGGTGTGATTAAAGTTCTTAAAATTGGGAGGTTGTCCTAAATTACTTGAAGGGTCCTGAATGCAATCATAAGAATCCTTATAATAAGAAGGCAGAGGAAAAATTTATACACACACAAGACCTGGAGGTAATGTGACCACAAACCAAAGAATACTAACAGCTACTAGAAGTTGTAGGGTTTGTTTGTTTTTGTTTGGTTTGGTTTGGTTTGGTTTTTTCTGGTACTGGGGATCAAACTCATGACCTTGTGCTTGCCAGGCAGGAGCTGTGCCTCTGAGCTAAATCCCCAGCTCCTAGAAGTTGCAGGGTGAATGGATCACCCCAATAACTCCTAAGGGAGCAGGGCCTTTGTGACACCTTAATTCTGGCCCAGTGATACCGACTTTGAATTCTGGTCACAAGAATTGTGAAAGGATAGATTTCTCTTGTATTGAACCCCAGCTTTGTGGTAAGTTGTTATACTGGCAACACAAAACTGATATACATTCTTTTTGCTCATTAAAGATATCTTGCACATTAGTAAAACTCTGTCTCAAAATTTAAAAAAAAATTTTAAATGTCTGAAATGCACCTTGGTGTAAAGGCCCTGGCTTTAATTCCCAGCATTAAAAAAACTTACAAAGGTGCTGTTGCCAGCCATTCTATAAAACCTATAAGTGTTTTTATAAATGCAGTTAATGAAAAGCACTATTTCAGTCAGACTTTAAATCAGAGACAACATAGGACTCAGAGGTACAGGACTCAAATTCACTAGGCACTGAAGCCAGAACAGCGGTATCTGGCCAAGAAATCAACTGTTTAAATTTTGTTTGATGTCGCTGTATACACAGGACAGCTAACATAGTTGTACTACTGACTTTTATTGCTCCATTGAAAGGAACAATTAATGTTTAAGTGTTTGGTCAATCTTACCTGCCTGTATTTGTTTGAGTAACCAAATTGAAGATATCAATATAGGGGCTGGGGATTTAGCTCAGTGGCACAGCACCTGCCTGGCAAGCGCAAGGTTGTGAGTTTGATTCCCAGTACCAGAAAAACAAACAAACAAAAATAAATAAATAAATGAGACATCAATATATAATACAACAACCATTGTTAGTTTCCTATCACCTTGTCTGAGATTCTGTATTGCTTGTATTGTTTTTGTTATTTTCTAAATATATGTGTGTTTGTTAAGATATTTTTGTTATCTTTAAAATAAAAAAATAAATTGTTTGGTGAAGGGATGAATAGTAAGCATAAACTTGGTAGGTTGTTCTTGCCTTACACATCCTAAGAAAAAAGATTTGTCCCTTGCCAGGCTCTTGAGAGATAAGCTCTAGTTGCTTAGACTAACCTACTTTGTAAGGGCTTTTGCTTACATAGAATCCAGGGGCCATACCAGATGATCTATACTCACAATATGGCTCATGGTGAGGGCTTGAACCACGTGGTTTAACCTTGACCTTTCGAAGGAGCTGGAGACTAATGTCAGCCACATGGGTGATTAACCACGACTACATAGTCTACTCGCAGCTAAAGTTTTTTATATCAAACCTCCCTTGGTTCTCAGTACTTTATGCATGTGATCAGTGAGAGAATGGAACACTTTAATTCCACTAGAAATGGGAAACTTGTTCCTGGTCTCTGATTGATCCTGTATTTTTTTCCCATTTTAAATTTTAACTTGTTCATTATGGTAAAGGTAATCATGAGTACAACAGCTTTGCTGAGTTCTGTGAGATTTTCTAGTGAGTCATGGAACCTGAGTGACCCTAGAGATCCCAAACTTTAGGAGGACTCAAAACTGTACTGGCACAACTCTTCCATCCAAGAACAGAGCACATCTAAGTCCAGAATCAATTACCTGGTTCCACACTTGATTGTGATATCACCTGGCCACCTAGCCTCCTTGATCCTTGTGACCATTAAGCTTAATTGTCAATTTGATTGGCTTGGAAGCTGCCTAGGGGATTAGTAAAGCACAGTTCTGAGTGTGGTCCAGATTGGTCATGCAGGTGTGACCTTGGGTGCTATTTATAGTCCCTGGATCCTTCCTCTCTGGAACTGTTCTCATTCTTTCCTTCTCAGTTGCCATGAACTCAGCATCTTTGCTTCATTATGTATTTCTACCATGATGTTTCTGCCTTGGAGCCAGTTGAGCATAGACCTAACTCCCAGAACCCATTAACCAAATTAAATCTCTCCATTTTAAATTGTGGGCGTCGGGCTGGGGATTTAGCTCAGCGGCAAAGCGCCTGCCTGGCAAGCGCAAGGTTGTGAGTTCGGTTCCCGGTACCAGAGAAAAACCAAAACTAAAAACCATAAATAAATAAATAAATTGTGGGCGTTAGGTATTGTGTCCCACAGATAGGAAAGCTCACTAATATAATTGTTAGCTTTTTTATATGTAACATGAAAAAGATGAACTGAATGACCTCAGAGGTCCCTTCCAGCTTTCACACACTAGTAATACACCACCACAGATACAGTTTGTTTACACAAAGTCATCCAGATATGTTCCTAGCTTGTCATTTTGATGTGGAACTCAGCCAACAGAAGTTAAAATGTTTCTACTTTTCTGATTAACTCAGGGCACCACGGGCAGGAACATCTGTTGCCTTTGTTTTTACCAACTTGCTTGGGGGCTCTTTATGAACCTCTGATCTGCTATTGTGGTACCAAAGTTTCTACTTTGAGGCAAGATCATAGTACAACAGACTCTGTCTGAAGCCAGGAAAATCTAGACTCTAAAATCTTAAGGAAAAAAAAAAAACCAAGAAAACCTCATCAATATGTGAAACTTTTGACTTAACAGCAGCACCTGAATTATGCATTTTGTACATAGATCTATGATTAATATGCTCTGGGCTTTTTCCTCACTACTGGAAAGAGAATTTCCTCAAGAAAACTTGCTTTATGAAGGAAACTCTTACCGATAATGTATTTACCACAATGGCAAACCTTTATTGCGAGAGGCTATTAATGTTTGGGTTCTTCCAAAAGCAGAAAATATTTCAATCTATTTTTAAAAATCTCAATTTGAAATGTACACTAGGGCCAGGAAATACAGAGGGGACTAGCCACAAAATGGTGAGGCCAAAAGCAATAACGGGATCTGGAATTTACTCACTAACCATGTCTTAAGCAAGTCATCTACCCTACTTGATTTCTTTCCTTCTACTACACATTTTTGGACAGAAGACAGTAGCACCTGTTCTGCATTATTCTTGATAGGCACACAAACAGACAAACAATAAAGAAGCTTCAATGTTGCTAATGAGGCCATATGGTTAAATGATCTGCAGTTTTCTTTTTCTCATTCCTTTTATAGGATAACAGTTTCAGCCATGTGCTTTATGGATTTCAGCAGGTTTCCTCTTGACACTCAAAATTGCTCCCTTGAACTGGAAAGCTGTAAGTCTTACTGCCTGATGGAGTGAGTACACATCATCTGAACACACCATCACATACTTGCCAAAAAACAAACATGCTCTTAGCAAGAATCTTTCATATATTTAAAATCTTGATATATTTTTCCAAACATCTGTGTTTTGTTCTGTTCTATTTTTGCTTTGCTCTTTTTTTTTTTTTTTTTTTTTTTTTTTTTTTTTTAAGGACATGGATGGTTTTCTCTCAAAGTTTAGAAAGGGGAAACTTTGATAAGAACATATTCTGCAGTTTCCACAATGGTTATGAAGGAACAGCTCCCTAAAATGGTGCATTCTTCTAATGTTACTATGTAGATCTGATCCAGACTTTCCACATTTCGATAGCTGTGGAATTCATGTTCTCAGATGAGTCACAATTTCCATTAAGTGTACATGGGTTCCCTAGAAAAACCCAGCTCTAGGCATAAACCCCATAAGCAAAGGCATTTGAGTCAGCTCCCAGACAATTGCTCTGACCCATCAGCTATTTTTGTTAGTTGTCTTAAAAGCTGACTGCAAGGGGTTTTTTGCAATTTGGCCAAAATACTAGGAATTTCAATGGACATTTTCTCCACAGATGTTCCTCTCTAATTTCATTAGAAAGTTCAGTTTTGGAAGAAAATTCATTATAAACTGGCCTTATGGTGGAATTTCCTGCAGTAGAGATACCAAAAGAAAGGGCCTAAGGACATAAAGTTGCCCTGGGACTGTGAGCGATGCTGTGGAACCACACTGAGGCCTGGCTTGATGTTGAGTGATAATGCATTCAGGCAGAGGAGCAGCTTTTTGGAAAGTTTTAACATAACACGTAGGCATAAGAAAAGCCCCACACTGTATCAGTCATAAAGGTCTAATGTTTAGAGATTTTTTTCTTTGTGAAGGTAAAACTTTTTGACAAAAGTTTTGACACCAAATAGATATATGCTATTGAATCAGGCACTGGATATACAGAACTGTACTGGTTACATACCTCATAAATTCAGAAGTGCTTGTTGCAATTACAGGAATGCTATTGTCTTGTTTTAGATGCTTACAATGAAGATGATCTAATGCTATACTGGAAACATGGAAACAAATCCTTAAATACTGAAGAGCACATTTCCCTTTCTCAGTTCTTCATTGAGGAATTCAGTGCTTCCAGTGGATTAGCTTTCTATAGCAGCACAGGTACAGCATTTTATGTGGACTATTGATTAGTACTTACACAGTTCTGCTGTTTGCAAAGTACCTCAACATATGAATGGAGCTGAATCCAAACAAGCGATCCATTTCACTAATAACATCAACCCTCTCATTTTATAGACAGCTGCTTCCACATTTCACTACATTACTTCTTTCCTTCTTGTGAAAATGTCTCTAACTAGACGCCCTGCTTTCCTCTTTGGCACCTCCAATCTACTTTCAGTACAGCACGCAGAGTGATCTTTTGAATCATAAGGATCATAGTTTTTTCCTGCTTAAAATTCTTCAGCTTTTTGCCTTTGTACTTATAACCAAATTCAATCTTCTCAACATGATCAACTTCCTGCTTACTGCTCTGAATTCTCCCGGGACGCCTGTCCCTCCATCCTACTCCCCTACTGGCCTTATTACTTGTCCCCACACAACCCCATCTCACTTTGTCTGCAGGTCTCAACTGTGGCCTTCTCTCCCTCTGCCTAGAATACTTCCCCTACCCCATCTTCTCATGACGAGCTCCTTCTTTCATTCAGAAGTTTGTCCACATATTTCTTCAAATAGGGTTTTTTCTTGCTTAAAATAAGCCTCCCTCGTCACAAATACTCATTTTTGTCTTCAAAGCACTTATGACTACTCCAAACCTGAAGTATTACAATACTTTATAGTGTAACCTTTTCCTTAGAAAGAACACAGGAAATCTGCCCACCTTGCTGACCATTTTTCCTCAGCTCTCAAGTGCCTAACACAAGACAGATATAAATAAATAAATAAATAAATAAATAAATAAATAAATAAATCAACCAAATGAATTAATCAATTAAAAGCATCACTGCACCAATAGAAAATCCATTCAAAATCAAGTCTATATTATATACTATTTACTGTGATGGCTATATTTTTACTTTGCAACATTCACATAAGACACTTTTAGAAGTTGTATTTCATCCCTGTCAACTAAGATTAGAAGCTTTCTCAGCCTCATTCCCTCCACCACTTCCTGTCCCCCACCATTAATCCCATCATCACACCAGTTGCTAGTATTCAGCATCATTTATGACAGATAAAATATAATTATGGCTCATTGAAGCATGTGCAGGCCAGAGATTTTGCCCACAGAAGCCCTGAAGTTCAGAGCTGTCCTGACCAAATCCTTCGGCACACTCAGTTCTGATTGTAGTGCTGCTTACTATTCGTAGACCTCTGAAAGAAGTTACAGAATTGTCTAATATCCTGCATGTTTAAAAGTAAAAACAAGGTTTACATCTCAGAGGAGCTAATTGACTTTCTAGGACCAATAATGCTTTGACAATTAAGATCCAGAAGAAACATTCTATTTCACACCAGTGTTGGCCTAATTGCTTATGACTTAGCAAATGATATTATTTTAATCATGTTTATTGCCTTTTGCATATATAAGTAATACGCATTTATATGTTTTGATCACTGATATATCCTTAGCTCATTGAAACTGCTCAAAGTCATCTTGAATAAATGCATAAATGGTAGATAATCTGAACTCATAACAGGGCAAAGAAGGCTTTGTTAATCCTATCTCATGGAGATAACGCCATTATTATATTTCTTCTGTTCTTCTTTCTCCTTTTCTTTTTTTATATATAAACAAATATAGATATATATTTTGTCAGGATTTTTAATATTTTTAGTCCTATATTAAGTTAAATTAATATATAAAGTAATATAGACAATGAACAATTATATACATGAAGTATGATTTATAATTATATTATATAATTTTATTACTATTTCTATAATAAAGTAACCTTGACACATGATAAATTATGAATAGAACTTTGTAATGTTTAAGTTATATGAAATGATACATATGAAGCACAGAAATCCAACAGCATTATTTGCTGCACAAAAAGTATAAACATAATATAGGAATGATATTTCTTCAGATTTTGAAGCCTAAGAGCCCATGAAGATATATCCATTTTCTTTAAAAGAAGAGGTGAAATTTCACTTGCAGTGATTGCCAACTTCCTAAGCCCCACTGGATAGGCTCAACACTAATTGATTTTTTTTTATCCTCTTCTTGTCATATTTTAGAATCTATGAAAAGTAAGACCAAATACTTAACATTGAAAATATTATTGCTGGGGCTGGGGATTTAGCTCAGCGGCAAAAGCGCCTGCCTGGCAAGCGCAAGGTCGTGAGTTCGGTTCCCGGTACTGGAGAAAAACCAAAAAAAAAAAAAAAAAAATTATTGCTTATAAGACGCTTTTAAAGATTTTTAAATGAATAAGAAATCCTTAACATTCAAGTGTAGTTACATTTTCAAGAAATAAAATTGGTTCCTGAGTGAAACAAGAAAAGAATAGAATTAGGTCAAATGTATAGGTCTATGTAGCATGAGATGGAGAGTTATTCATAACAATTTTTATTTACAATGTAATTTACAATGAAGATAACAATATGTAATACAACAACCATTGTTAATCTCCTATCACCTTGTTTTGAAATTCTGTATTGTCTTTATTGTTTTGTTTATGTCTTTGTTTTTGTTATTTTGCTTTTGTTTTCTCTTTAAAATTAAAAAAGTAACTTACAGAATATATAACACAGTCTTACATTTGTTATTGAAGAAAATATTTATACATTTAGGTGTATATATGTATTGGTGTGTGGGTGTGTGTCTGCGCAGGTGTGGGTGTGGATGTGTGCATGTGTGTGTCTGTTTTAAAAGTCTAGAAATATTAACAAAAGATACCTCTGAGAAACGGGTATGTATCGATTAGCTTTTACAATTTTACTTCACACTTTGTGTTTTCAAATTTGTTAAAATGTATGCATTTTTAATGAGAAGGCCAACAATGGGCCCTGAGTAGAAAAAAAATGCAAGAGTAAAGCATTTTTGAAGTTATGTTTAAATATAAAATAACTGATCAAATCTAGGTTTATTTAACTATTCTGAAGGTTCTAGAAAGATCACTTTTAGACACATTTCAGTTCACAGGTGTATGATAACTCTGCCACACATTGCCCATGAATTGTCAAACATGGTTTTCTGAGAGTCAAATTCAAATATCTTTCTCATCTTAGAATCCAGTTTAGATATATTTGCTGAGTCAAAAACTATTTTTTATATTTTTTCTTCATTCCTATCATTACAACTACTAACCATAACTAACATTCTCAAATCATCTACACACAAAAAATCTATGTATCTGGCTCTAGCTTTAAGAGCAAGAAATATAGTTAGTTTCTATTTTATAGCTGAAGTTTCATTCTTGGCATTGCCTTCTCTAACACCATTGCCAAACCCTGTCACTAGCTAGTAACATCAACAAGTAGCGGAGGGTTTCTCTCCTCACTCTTCTCAATGTTCCTCAAAGTCATACACTGTAGATTTACAAAGGAGAAAGAAATTACTCTTGCCCCCGATGGACATATTGAATAACTACTCACTATAATAGTGCAATATATTAGCTAACGGTGCAAGTCTTGGGAGGAGACTGCTAGAGTTCAAACCCTGTCCTACTACTTATTACTAGCAGATCTTAGACAAGTTGCTCAATTCCTCTAATCCTCAATTGCCTCATCTTTAAATGAATTTCATAACACTCTCTACCTCATAGGGTTGTGAGGATACATGAGTTAATACAATTAAACAACTTATAAAACTTAAAATGTTCAACAAATATTAATGATATTTGTCATCATAAAATTAATCTCTATCATCTCCATGTTCACCAACATTGTCATCTTGACCCTTTTAAAACAGTCTGTCACCTTTGTATGAAAATGCCATTGAAAGTGACGGCTGGTAGGTGTGAAATCCTTGAATCCTGTCTTGGGACTAACTCTCCGTTTTCCTGGATACTGCTTCTCCAGCCCTCTCCTTTCTTTCTTTATTTTTATTTTTTAATATTCATAATCTCTCTTTCTTTATTTTTATTTTTTAATATTCATAATCTGTTCTTTCATTTTTTCTGAAACATCTGACTATGTAGTTCAGTCTGGCCTTGCACTCACAGTGTAGCCCAGGCTGACCTTGAACGCTCTGCAATCCTGCTGCCTCAGCCTCCCAAATGCTGGGATTACAGGTGTGCCCCACCACTCCACACTTATCTCTGTCTTCAGTTTCCCTTCTTCCTACCCTGTGGCAGCCTGATGAGGACAGATGGGCCCCACACACCCAAAAGTTGGTTCAGATGTCAAAACTGGTGATGCCATACATATAATAAAAGGATACAAGGCTGGGAATATAGCTCAGTGACATAAGCACCTGCCTGGCAAGCGCAACGTCCTGAATTTGATTCCTGGTACCAAAAAAACAAAAAACAACAACAACAACAAAAACCATGAAAAGGCTACAAAGAGATTCATTACCCATAGGATGGGCTTTCCTGAGAAAACAGCTCAGCTCCTGACCGGGTCTGCAATGGCTTAAGAGAATAGGAAGGTTGGCCTGGGATTTTGTGGTGGTTGGGAGTGGAGATCAGGGGGTTCCTTATGTGGGGAAGGCAGGACTTGCATGGTTTAAATTTCTCACAGTTGACAGAAGAGTCATATTCAGGAGTTTTGTGGGGTTTGTTTGTTTGTTGTATTTTGATTGATTTTTTTGGCTTGCCTGGATATGAAGAGGCACCAGAAGTATAATTTGAGAGTTTTCAGCAGCCAAAATCATCAAATATGGAGTTAGAAACTCTTCTAACACTTCCCACAGTGAGGGCTCCACATTCTTTCCAGGACAGTGCTACCCCTCCTGGTAGGCAAAGGGGCCCCTGGCTGCTGCTTCACCTGCAATAGCATCCCCAGTCTTCCCTTCTTGGAAGAGCTATAGGACAGCAGCATTTCTCCTTCCTGATACCTTGCCTCACCTCAGAAAACATCATTTGTCTCTGGAAAATTAGGAGTAAAGAAAAGATACAGGGCTGAAGGTGTAGCTCAGTGGTATAGCACCTGCCTAGTATGCAGGAGGTCCTGGATTTGATTCCCAGCACTGCAAAGAGAGAGAAAGAAGAGGGAGGGAGGGAGGGAAAAAGAAAACAAACTGAACAGGAATATTTCTTAAAAGATGAAATATTTTTGTTGTCTTATTTAATAAGTAATATAACCTAACAATTACATATAATTTACATTGTATTGAGCATTATAAATAATATGGAGAGGATTTCAAATGTACATGAATATGTAAATAGGTTATGTGCAAATACACCATTTTACATGGGAAACGAGGTTTCATAGATTTTTATGTATTAGAGGGTCTGGGACAAATCCTCTACAGATACAAAAGGATCACTTAAATAGCATGTTTATGAATTACTTTTACAGATATTCTTTGTTTCTTTTAACTACATAATAATTATGTGAAGCTATAAGGGCAGATTCCTGTCATATACTACAGCCATAATAAAAATGCTTAATTGCATACAATAATAAAGTGAGTGACAAATACAATACGATGAATAGCTCAAAAATGTATATTTTAATTTTAGAGTATGTGTCTGCTGTATTCTTCAAATAAATATACTTTAAAACATATGTATCAACTGACAGGGAGAGCATCTTATTCCTCAGAAGAAAGAAAGGCTAATGATAACTTGGTGGAGAATAGAAGGAGAGGCCGACAATTCAGTGTGGGTTGGTGTGTGGTGTGTGTCTTATTCCAAATGCCTACATATTTACTTTACCCAATCAATAGTTTTGCCTTCTTGGGTTTCCTAAAAAGTTACTACAAAACTACCAGAAGAATTCTATAAATTTGCAATACCTATGACTTTGTTTTATAATTTTTAGAGTATAATCTCTAAATTTTAAATAATTTCATTTCAAAATAAAATGCACCTGTAGAAACACTAATCTTAGAAATTATTCATAAATGTGTATTTGTATTTCTATTCTCTTTATTATTCATTGCTGTATTGTAACAAATATTTAATTAGATTGGCACTTTGGTTACCATGTAATAAAGCAAGGTAATATCAGAAATGTGTGCATGAGACTCCTCCTCCTTCACTCCCTCTTTGCCTAATCCCAGGTTAAAATCCAATAACTCAACAGTGCCTTTTCTTTCAGAGAAAATGTTTCCCTCCATTTGTTATATCTAAAATGGCTTAATTGAATATTATATGTAGTCACTGGTCATGTGTTGAAGACTTTCCTTCTTACAGAAATAATTCAACAACAATGTATCTTGGAGAAAGGTCTTTAAAGACCACCCACACGATATAATTACCCTTCATCCCTGAACCGCAGGTATGGACGTTAAGGATGGATCTTTGAGTTAGATAATTAAGCATGCTGTAGTTCAGGTTGTTGGACTGACAGTGGTAGAGTACCAGGGCCAAGTGCCACCTAAGGCCAGAGAAACAGAGTTCAATGTGTCAAGTTCCATGTCCCCTAAGAGTTCAGTGGCTAAATAAGTGGGGTTTTTCTCTAAGAGTGGTATTTCCCAGAAGCAGCCTGTCCTAATGAAAACCTTGGCTCTTTCTCGTAGGTTGGTACTATAGGCTTTTCATCAACTTTGTGCTACGAAGGCATATCTTCTTCTTTGTGCTGCAAACCTACTTTCCAGCTATGTTGATGGTGATGCTCTCTTGGGTTTCATTCTGGATTGACCGAAGAGCTGTTCCTGCCAGAGTGTCTCTGGGTAAATAAATCCTTCCATACCTTGTGAAACACTAGTATGGGAGGAAGGCCAGGGGAAGTAAATAAAAATGAGGGAAACACAGTGAGGAAAAGAGAGTGTTGGTTTAGTAGGTATTTAGAGATAGACTTTAAACTTAAAGTATTTATCTTGCCAGCTTCCAGTGCAAATTATAATTGTGCTCTTTCCTTGGGAAGCAAAATTATTGGGATGAAGGCTATACCAGCTGGCAGATCTGCAGCTGGAGGATAGTAAAGAAAGAAGGGTAGAACTAAGAAATATAAATGCCCTGGCTGTAAAAAGCTATCCCTTTTCCCCGTCGAGCCATACCATCCCCCTTACTAAGTCCTTTTAGCTTTGCATGACAAACCTTTACATCATAGAAGGAAGAACCTTTAGACTAATTCACACTAGTCTGTTGGTGTCTTAATACATTTGAGGGGAAGGGTGGATTACTGAATTTGAGAACGTAAGTGCTGATTAGAAATTAGGGCATAACACAAAGGCCAAAATCAAAATCAACCACAGCAGAATGTTAGGTACTGCAGTACTTTAGTCAGCCAATTTCAGGTGAAGAGACATTGCCCGCCTTGTTAAGACACCACACAGACATGATTGTCTACTCCATCTAGCATATTATATGCCACTGTCACACACACTGATTTATGGGAACTTTTTCAAACCCACTTAGCAGTTATTGAGTCCTTACAAAGTGGAAGGTGCCAAGCTAAGTATTTAGATGACAATTAATGAGAACCCAAGGGTAAATCCCACATGCCTTCCTGGCTGGTTCAGGGCAGAGCTGCCTCATTTCATCTGATTTTGCTCTTTTGCCTGTAACGATCTATCTCAAGAGAAGATTGTGAGCAGTCCTTCACAATCATGGTAATTATCACACAATTTATTCCAGAAAGGATGGTTCCAAGTTAATATTCACAAATTATATGCGTACTTCAAAAGATCGTTTGAAAGGCATAAATTATTAATATTAATAATTTGTCCACCTCTTTCCCATCTTAAAAGCTTTAGTCTGCAAGCATTTGAGGCTTGAATATCTTCAAGGAAAAAACACCATCTGAATGAGTAATTATTTTGACTGTGTCTTTACACCAGAGCCTCTTGTCCTGACCTTAGCACCAAGTGGAGTAGCAAAGAGCCACAGGAGAGACGGAGGGCACATTTCTAGCTCTAGAGCCAGGCTGAGAAAGGCAGTCAGTCGCTAAAGGTTCCTGCACATGACTCTCCATCACATTCCTCAAGATGACTGTGCTGCTCTTGCCCTGTGAGAGTGACAGCTATAAGTTGCTAGCTTCATGGCAGACTGAAGTGAACAGAGACACCGGAAAGGCTACATTTCAGTCATTCTCCAGATTCTGTGCTCTTGCATCCACATCTCATCTCTGGGAGATGGGAAGTTTCTGCACACATTTAGGTAAAATAATATAAAATTCAAAAGTGGCACCCTCCCTTTTTTGTTAACTTAAGGGAACAATGGTACTCCTAGAATACTGGTCAAAACTTTTTAAAGATTCTTTTTGTTTTGTTTTGTTTTCTGGTACTGGGAATCAAACTCACGACCTCGTGCTTGCCAGACAGGTGCTGTACCACTGAGCTAAATCCCCAGCCCCTTTAAAGATTCTTTGCACTCTTCTTTACCCAGCCTTCCAAATGGGATGCCACTCACTTCCTGGAAGTAAAGTATAGCATTCCCATCAAATCAGGGCCATTAACATTTCCATCCCTTGTCATTACTTTGTGTTTACAGCCTTCAAGCTCCAGTCATGTAGTTACTCATAAAAAATAGAATAGACTATTGTGAACTAAGGCCCCCACTATCTTGAAAAACAAAACTTACTACTTCTATTTGTGTTGAATGTCCATTGTCCATGCCTCTTCCATCCGGTCTCCCCGCTAACTTCCCAGCCTCCAGTAATCACTGTTATAATTCTGATTAACTTATTTTAATATCCACATAAGAGGGAACAGGAAATATGCAAAATTCGTCTTTCTTTGCCTGACATTTTCCTGCAAATAACATGACTTCATTCTTCTTTACAGCTGAATGATATTCTATTGTGTATATATACCACATTTCTTTCTCCATAAATGTTGTACCAATGTATTTTCCCACCAGAAGTATATGGAAATTCATATCCTTGCCAACATTTGTTTTTTGTCTTTTTTATGGTGCCCATTTATGGGATATGGTGATAGCTCATTGTGGTTTTGATTTGTATTTCCCTGAAGTCTAATGAAATTAAGCAGTTTTTTATCATAAATATGTTGGCCATTCAAATTTCTTTCTTTCTAGAAGTATCTATTCATATCATTTACTTGTTTTTAAAACAAATAATTTGAGGACTTTTTTTTTTATATATTATGGATAGTGATCCTTTGTCAGATGAATAGTTTGTAAAACATGTTTTACCATTCTGTAGGTTATCTGTTTCCTCTGTTGATTATTCTCTTCAGTATATAGAAGCTTCCTAGTTTGGTATTATTGCTTTTATCTATTTTATTTCCTATGCTCTGCAGGAGTTATCAAATAATCATGGCCCATACCAATGTCTTGAACTGTTTCCCTGTATTTTCTTCTAATAGTTGCATATTTCAGGTCTTACATTTAGGCAACTGGATTTTTGTTTTTTTGTTTGTTTGTTTTCCGGTACCAGGAATTGAACTCATGACCTTGCGCTTGCCAGGCAGGTGCTGTGCCGCTGAGCTAAATCCCCAGCCCTTAGGCAATTGGATTTTATCTTTGCTTCTTCAGTCTATTGTAATAGGTTTTGGTTGAAATATAGGGAAAAATCTGACTTTATCAAATATGTGGTTGAAAAATGACTAGTATTTTTTAAATGACTAGTGTTTTGGGTCTTTCTGGATAATTTTGTCTTGGAAACATGACTACTAATTTGAGTTTTTCTAGATAATTTGAGATATTGACTCATACCCAAATTCAAAAAGGAATAGTTTCTCGAAGGTTATTTGCAATGTTAAATCTGAAATAACATCAATTTTTTCTATTATGTTAGATTAAACTCCACCAGTCTATCTTGTACTTTGAACAGATAGATCTTTTACCCACTGCACTGGTCATTTGGAAAATACTGATTTACTGAATTATAGAGATCTCTAAAAGATTTTTGTAATTCATTATGCAACATCAAAAGCACATTAAGTACCACCACTAATTACTCATGAGAAAATGTTAAGTAAGAAGATGTTCATAAGTGATGTAGATAAGTTTGGTAAAATTCTAGTTTTGCTTGGAAAGCTTAAATCATATAGTTGATAACCATCAATAATTATTTTACTTGAAGTAATAGGCTAGATTGGCTTTAAGAAAATGTTTGCCAAATGCTAAAATCTGGATGATCAATTTGTCCTCAGTTTTTCTTTTGAGTAAAAATGGTGCTCCACTTTTAAAAGTGTCTAGCTCACCTCATGACCCCATTCCCTGAGTACTTTTCCTTATGACAGCCTTTCTGCTTTGGTATGCAGGGCACTTTGTGTACATTTCTCATTCCATGACCCAAAATGCTAAAAAGGCACATATTCAAGAACTACACTTTAATAAAATTAGTAAGTTTTACTGCCTTTCCTTTTCATGTAAGTGCTGGGACAGGAAAAACAGTGGTGATTGGTGTGTTTGGTGCTGCTGCTTTAGATTATGCTGAGGTAATGGCAGTTTTACCACCCATTGCACCTGCACTGTCAGTGCAAATTTTGACACAATGACAAAACCAAAGAGTGTCTGAGACTGCAGTCAAATTTATTTTTACTACACAGAGTCCCTGAGAAAGGTCTTGAGGAACTGTAGTTCTCAGGTATTTAAACCTTTACAATCTTCTCTCTAAAGTGTGCTTAACATTCTTACTGTCTCCTTTTTCATTTATTCTGTCCTACCCAGTGCAATGACCCTGCTAAATTTCCCTTGGATTTTTCTAATAGACCTATCTGCCCACGGTCATCATCCAAGACTCTGTGACACCTGACCCACAGGAACTTGGCAGCAAAAACCAGCCTGTGCTCTATGAAATGCATAGTTTCTGGTGGTGAGCACCAGAGCAAGAGGCACATTTTACTGACGTGCACAAAGCAGTAGCATACACCTGCAATTGCTTCTTTTACCTCCTGTTCTTGGTCCGGTCCAGTCATACTGCCTTTCTATTTCCATTAATAGTAAAAATATTTTCAGTTACTTGAAGGTAAACGGAGATTCTTCCTCTCTGCAGGAGAACTGCTTGCAGCACACTATTAAGGGGAAACAACCTCAGTAGTTCTAGAAATGATGCTTGTCTGTCCTACAGCTGTCAAACTTGTCAAGAAACCTACACACCATGCACAGCCAAAAGTGCCTAATAAAACACAACGACGAATATTTTTCTCCATACTATCCTTAACTCACCCCATAAGTGTACTTAAAAGTTAATGTCTGGAAGTTGCAAAGACTCAAAGGAGCTGAGTAAAATGGCCAGACTAAATATTTTCTTATAACACTTCCTAACTGTGCATAGCAGTATCAGTAGGTGGGAAGATAATTTTCTAACCTCAACACATGACCTTCCTCTAACTAAATAGTCACTTCATATAATTCAAAACTCCTTTCTTGGGAAATTAACTTTAATGGATCTGGAAGGAATACTATTTGTCAAGATTAAAGCATTTCCAAGGGGTGGCTCGGAACATAGTATGTTTAATGTAGCTGCAACAGTACTCACTTCAAGTTCTATTGCTTTTGGAATTTATGTATCAGCTTTCTCATCACTCCCCCTGCCCAACAATCCCTCCTCTCTGTTCTCTCATTCTTTTTTCTCATTTTAAACAAGGAAAATCTAAAATACTGATTTTCAAAATAAAGTTGTAATAAGTTAGTTGGGCTAAGCAACTCTGAAAGAAATGACTGAGAGTTTATTTTTCCCTGGAAACTTTACATAATTTTTTTTTTTTTTTAGCCAAGTAGTCATCAGTTCCAAATATATCATGAGACACTCTCGTGTGTACACAGTTTTAAGTCTTTGTTCTCCTCAAAACCTTCATTTTTTCTATAGCAGTACCACCACTGATTGCGCCACTGGAGTTCTGAAACCTTTATTTTGTCTGCTAAGTCCACATTACTGTCTATCAAAAAATGAAGTTTGATCTCCCATATCTCAGAAAATCAGTTAAAAAAATTTAAAATTTTTTTGAATTAATGGAATAAACTAAATAGGAATGTTAGTCCAGGATTCCTTTAGTATGTGATAGTGAACGTCTAAAGGGATTAAGAGTTTTTGTCTTTTTGAAACAGGGTCTCGCTATGTAGTTCAGGCTGGCCTTGAGCTCACTTTGTAGCCCATACTGGCCTCAAACTTGCAGCGATTGTCCTGCCTCATCCTCCTGAGTGCTGAGATTACAGGCGTGCGCCACCACGCCCAGCTAGCAAATATATTTTGGAGTCAAAGAATGAAAACAACATACACGCATGTGCATATTGATGATTTGAGCACTGTCAGTAAGAAACCTGGACTCAGTGAGACCTGAGTTCAGTGAGACCTGAGTTTTATGTTACAAACTAGAACTTTATTTATGTTTCTTATTCTGGAGTACATATCAAAGGTGAGATTCTGGGTTCTCCCATGGTGACTGTCAAATTACTAGGTTGTGTTGGTCTTCATGCTATAAACTAAAAACTTCATCTGAAATTGAATGACCCTGTAGAGTTGCCACTATGTTTGATATGGGCCCCCTTAAATGAGAACTTCACAGAATAACTAGACAGAAAATAGAAAGAATTTGGTGAAAGCTGTTCACATGCTGTGTCTGTACACTTAGGAGTAAAATCTTCCCACTGTTTGGGACTCCTCACAGCTTGTAAAAATCATGAAAGATTTCATTTGCACCTCTCTAGTGGGAAGATAAGCAATAAAATCATGCCAGCTAGTGTACATTTCAAATATTTACAAGACCATGCTTTCACTCTATGTAGAACTCTTACAATATCCCTTTGAGAAAGGAGTGTAGACATGGAATGTTCCTTCCCACAGACAACAATGTATTTTTAAATTTTTTTATTAGTACATTTGCAACTTGCACAGTTACAGTCATCTTGGGGAGTGGTTTCATGTGGTTTGTTCATTTCACCCCTCTTCCCTTTCCTCCCCTCTCCCTCCTCCTCAGGTTCCCTTATCTACTTTTTTGTACTTGTTGACATTATTTGTATTAGGCCACGTTATGTTATATAGTGTTTGTATTAACTGAGGTTATTATGTTCCCCTACATGGCACATCTCTATTCTTATTTCTCCTGCCCCTCCTCCTCACCCTACACCCTTGTTCCCCTGAACCACTTCTCTATTGCAAGAGGTCCATCCCCGTGTCCCTTTCTATCCATCCTTTATCATTTCCTTTGTTTGTACTTTGCCTCACTCAAATGAGAGATGCCATATAGTATTTAAGCTTGTGTGTCTTATTTCACTCAACATTATATTTTCCAAGTGCACCCACTTTCCTACAAAATGTCTCAAATGTATACTTCTTTATGGCCAAGTAGTATTCCATTATATAGATATCACATTTTCTTATCCAGTCATCTGTTGATGGGTAGAAAGGCTGCTTCAAGGATTTAGCTATTATGAATTGTGCTGCTATAAACATTTGTATATATCTATCACTATAGTATGATGTTATACTTTATGGCTAGGTGTCTCCCCAAAGCCTTGTGAGGTCAGGGTGGATGGGCTTTTTTTAAGGCAACGGAATCTAGAGTCTGTGATTGGTTCATTGTCTAGTGCTTGGGGTGTGAGTGCTACACTTGCCCTAGGGCAGGTAGCCTACATACAATGTAAGGGAGGAAAAGAGGCTCACTCCTTTTGTTCTTGTTGCTTTGCTGTTTTCCACCACTGCCATGAACAGTTGGTTGCTTTCTATCAAGCCACCCTGCCTTGGAGCCAGCTGATTATAAACTGAAACCTCCATACACTGTGAGCTAAACAAACCTTTCCTCCTTAATTTTGGATGTCAGGTATTTTGTCTCTGTAATGAGAAAAGTAACTAAGACATAGGACTTAAGCTCTCTGGGGAACATACTTATCAGGAGGATAACTAGGTTCTATGGAATTTCTAATTTCAATTGTTGGAGAACTCTCCATACTAATTTCCATAACAGTTGTACTAGTTTGCATTCCCACCAACAATGCAGGAGGGTTCCTTTTTTATCACATCTACACCAACATTTGTTATTGTTTGATTTCCTAATGATTACCATTCTTTCCAGAGTCAGACGGAGTCTTAGCATTGTTTTAATTTGTGTTTCTCTATTGGTCAGAGATATTGAACATTTTTTCATATATTTGTTGACTACTTGTCTTTCTTTCTTTGTGAAGCATCTGTTCATTTCTCTTGCTCATTTCTGGACTGGAACTTACATTTTAGGTATTTTAATTTTTTTTTAAGTTCTTTGTATATTCTAGATATTAGTCCTTTGAGGAGTAAGTGGCAAAGTTTTTTTCCCATTTCTATAGGTTATCTATTCACTCTACTAATTAAATCTTTTGCCATAGAGAAGCTTTTTAGTCTTTATAACTTCATTTGTTGATTTTTGCTATTTCTTTGTTTGTTTTTGTTTTTTGGTTTTTCTCCGGTACCGGGAACCGAACTCACGACCTTGCACTTGCCAGGCAGGCGCTTTGCCGCTGAGCTAAATCCCCAGCCCCCGATTTTTGCTATTTCTTGACCCAGCAATTTACTGAAGAAACTTCAGAGTCACTTCTTCCTCCACTAGCTCCCAGAACCTGATCTCTTTGCCTCTGATGCCTATACAAGGGAATAAAGAGAAACAGAGGAAAAGAAAAGGGAAAGGGCATCAACTCTGAGAAGAGAGGAAGGGAGAAGGGCTGGGGAAGGAAGGAAGGGGGGATGAGAGGAACTGTCAACTGGCATTTAGCAGTTGCTCAGTAAATGTTTACTAAAGACTGAGCTTCCAGTAGCACATGTGGTCTCTGCAGTTTCATTAAGGAGGGGTAAAGAGAATAATTATGGCCTCTGAGTGTTCTTTTTGAGAGAAAAATACAGAGAATAGCAATCTTCAATGCTGCTAAAGATCACTGAGAAACAAGATCCCCTTGCAGCATGAAAGTGTAAAGGTCACACAAAGATAATTCTCTTAACAATAAAGGTTGTGAAATAATGGGGAAAGTTAGGGGAAATGACTTTGAGATTTCTTTCTCAGAATAACTTTTAAAATATTGAACACATTTCTTTTGGGGGATGGTTAGAAGAGGCCCATCTGAGGGTAGGATACAGACATGTCAGGCTCTGTGTCTCCAGATGGAAGAAAGGACATTGTGGGCAAGAGCAGTCAGGGCAAGAAAAAAAGAGGGAAAGAAAAATCCAACGAGAGCTTCTTGGTGTGCAGGGTTAACATGCAAAGATTCCCCCTGCCACCAACTGGATCACCAGACTAGTGCTATTCTGGAAATGCACCAGCTGCTGGGACTCTGAACCAGCTCGGGAAATGGATGGCTATGTCACTGACCTTGTCACTATTCTTTCATGTTAGGAATCACCACAGTGCTGACCATGTCCACAATCATCACTGGCGTGAGTGCCTCCATGCCCCAGGTGTCCTACGTCAAGGCCGTGGACATATACTTGTGGGTCAGCTCCCTCTTTGTGTTTCTGTCAGTCATTGAGTACGCAGCCGTGAATTATCTCACCACAGTGGAAGAGCAGGAGCGATGCAAGAAGAAAGGGAAGGTACCACTCTGCTTTGACTATGAGATCCCTTTTGGAATGCGACACTTTCTGTGCTGTTCTCTAACCCTCTCCTGATGATTCTACAAGCTTTTGTAGTAGGCCCATGTGCTCTGGCAAGATGCAAGTTTACAGGATGGTGACAGTGTAATGTTAAACTTTAATCTCTGTTCTGTGCTGACTGGTTTCTCCATATCCTCATCCATCTTCTCAGGAGTTTTGTGTTCGAAGGGTTACTCTCAACATGATCCTCTCCCCTGCCTATACCTGCTTGAAAAGAGGGGTTGGTATACCTTTCAAGAGAGTGATGATGATAATAATAATAGTTAATACGTAATGAGTGTTTGTTCATATATATTGGCATTATGCCAGTCACTTAACGTATGTTGTCGTATTTAATTCCCACAATAACCCAAGAGATCAATGCTTTATCACCCTCATTTCATAAAAGCAGAATAAGGACAGACAAGGTCAAACAGATAAAGAGGAATCAAGGTTTGCTTTTAGGTCTCCTTGACCCAAGGCTGTGCTCTCAACCAGCAAACGCTGTTTCTCAGGATTTATTTTTTCCCTTCTCTCACTCAGAAGAGTGGAAAAGCAAAAATGGAGGTTCTTCTCCCCACAATATCCTAGAATTAAGGTGCCTTCTGGGCTCTTGGTGTCATTACATTTTTGTGACATTGCTTAATATGGTTACATGCTCTCTGCTTCATTTCACAAAGATTGTGGGACCCAGTCCCACTTCTAATGAGAACTGACCTAAGATATTGTACTTTAGGAACCCAAATGATTAACATTTATTCATTTGCTAGCCTACATTTGAGAGACTCTGTGTGTGTATAATTTTAGTGAAATATACTCACATTGATTTAATTCTTACATACCCAGAACTTTATTTAATATATTTTAATTTCTAGTGATAGCACTTCATATCTTCATAGTGATTTTATGTCATCTCTCCATGTTGAAGCTTCATATCAGCTCCCCACTGTAGGCCTTGGCAAGATGATCATCTCTGTTTTAAAAAATGAGGAAGCAGAATTTTATTGAAGTAAACTGCTTTGCCAAAAGACTCACAGCCAACAAAAATGCTGCTATAATCCAGATCTTCTGGGATGCTAACTTCATCGTCTCTTTTGCTATTGAGTTGAACCTCTTATAGAAGCTGCCTGTTTCATTACAGATGCTTCCATTGCTCTTGTTGACAACATGTGGCTGTGTATCACACACATTCACACAGTAGGGTGCTGTGCAAATGTGAGAAAACCGGGATTTCAGACCAATGTGCTCCAATGGTACATACACATCACCACATTCTCATCAACATGTTGACTGCCTGGCTGGGGTATAACTTAAGAATGTGCATTGCTAACAAGCTTGGGGTGATGCTGATGCTGCTAGTCCATTATTCACTCTGCAACGAACAGTGATTTGGATAACCTGTAAAATAAAAGGGGACTCAAAAACATGAAAAGAGGGAAATCATTTTTCTTGTTTTGACTCAAGGATTAGTTAACCCAAGAAACAGAACCTTAAGTAATCTTGGCCATCTCCAGCTAGTCCTTTGCCTCCCACATATCCACATTTTCCTGCCCTTATCTGCCACACAAATGTTTTCACACTGTCTGATATTTTTTAATTTAGGAAGTTACATACAATTTTTTTGTGTACCCAATGAAGAATTTTTTGAGTTAATAACCATCTTCTTTGATAAATTTTGGGAGTTTTTAATTATGTTAAGATACACATAACTTGGAATTTACTATTGTAACTATTCTAAAGTATATAGATCAGCAATGTTAAGTATATTCAAACTGTTGTACAATCTCCAGAGATTTTTTTCTTGCAAAACTGTATTCTGTATCCATTAAATAACCCCTCATTTTCTCTTCCTCCATGGTTATCTCAAAGAAATGTACTACTTGACATTCATACATCATAAGAATAAAAGAAAAAGTGATTCAGAGTTAAAAAGGAGTGATGCCATGAACCAGCATGGCTCTCCCAGATCAAAAACGGTGAGGGGATTTAGAAAATAAAGGCAAGAGACAAGAGCTGAGGTCAGGTGGAGAGGCCTCTTTCCAAATGTGAAAAGAGGACTACACAATCACTGCAGGGGCATTTATTTACACTTTTGCAAAGCTAATATCACAAAATGTAAGATTGCCTGGTGACTAATGACTGAATTGTCAAGGCAGGATGCTTTTCTCAGGACCAAAGTACTTCCAGCTTTCATAGTTCCTAGAGAACGATGCCAAACTGAGCTCTGCCACTTCCCAACATTGTGTTTTAGGCTAAGTCTCTTAAACCTCTATTTGCATTCCCCAAATGGTGTAATTTCTTACCTATTTTTCTCATGGGGCTGCTGTGAATGTTAAATGATACAATAAATGGTGCTTACGCTTTTCACAAAATAAGCAATTTAGGATTCTCCCTGTTAGGTTAGTCTCCTTTCACATCATTTTGAAGAACAGACATGGACAACAATATGGATTCCAAAGTCAAAACTCAAAAGGGACTGGGTCACACATGCTAGTTCTTTTCCCCAGACACTGAGAGGGTAATGAATGATGGATAGTAAGGAAGGTCTAAATGCTAGGCCAGTGGATTTCCTCCCTATAAAGATATGCAGTCAGACAAAACTCCTTTTTTACCACCGCCACTGCCACCACTATTAACCACAACCACTAGCAGTACTAACCATACTATCATCCACCATCACCATCACCATTACAGAGACAAAACACCACCATCACCCATCACTACCACCCCACGAAATACTGCCTCCTCCACCTCTAGCATAGCACACATCCTCCAACCAGCCACAAATACTAAGAACCAGTAGAATACTGAGACCTTAGAAAAATTTTCCCTCATGTTGACTCTCACCTAGGAGGGAGAAAGGAAGCTATTTTTTTCTTATTCCTTATCCAAATGTTTCTTTAATTCCAGGACATAGAACTTAGTCTGAAACAGTCAGTCTATAGTTTAGACAAAATATACCTTAATAGCATGCTAATATATGGCCTGCAATGAAAAATTAAAGACCAGTTCTAATTCTGTTGGACAACTGACAAAAACCTGTAAAAAACTGCAGCCTTATGGTAACTTGTAGGCTGCAAACTTTAATCAGTTACATAGATAATTCTAAATTATCATAATGGAGAATGAGAACCCTTGTTCTGCAAAGATTTTTTTCTTTTAATGCACTGACATTTTTATTCTGATAAAAATAGTGGATGGCTCAGCAGTGTTCTGGGTATCTCAGGAAACCAATTAACAAGACTACCTACTTTTCTAGTGTCAGATCCATAGTTGAATACACTAGTAATATCAGCTGTCTCAAGTTACTTATTCACCCTGATCTTTTTGCATTTTATTTAGTCCATTTTCATTTTATTATGAAAATCTCAGCAATTAAATAAAAGTTCAATGTACCCCAATGTATGAATTCCTGGTTAGTGCACTGACTACACAAAATAGTTTCTATTTCTTTTGAATTCAGTCAAATATTAAGTTTTTAAATTGTTATGACCCAAATACAAGTTTTAACAGAATTTACTCTGCAGCCTCCAATTTGAATTCTGAATAATTTCATCTAGAGTACCCTCTTCACATTTGCCCACTTTTCAACTTCCCTATAGATCAGGAAATGTTTTTGTTTTCACAAAAAGCAATTACTAACAATTGGTTCCTAGACACTGCTCTATGCTAGTGAGAAGGTCAATCTCCCCAACAGTAAAATCTGAAACAAAAATTCTGGTTTAGATCCAATCCAATCCAATCAGGCACTGGAGCCAGAAAACACTGGTAATTTTCTTTCTTTTTTGTGTGTGTGTGTGTCAGAAATTGAACTCAGGACCTTGAGCTTGCCAGGCAGGCATTGGCAATTTTCTACTTCAGAATAATAAGCAAATTTTACATTTAATTGGTCTATGTTATCATCACTTATAGATAATTTTAAGCAAAAATAAGAAGGCCTGGCTAATTTGCACGTTTTAAAAAACAGCTAAAATCATTCCCTTACCAATCCCTAACTTAAGCATACATATGTTACCAGATGCAATTATTCTTTTTTGAACAAAAAACTGTACTGACTAGGCAGACTGCTACGTTCTCAAGGAGGAAAAATAAACTAAAAATCAAATCCAATTGGCTCATAGTGATGTTCCAGTAAATTATATTCAACTTCAACTCATAAATTAATGGCAAACAGTTCATACTACAGAGAAATAAAGACAGTAACATGCATCCACTATAACAATCTGTCAGGCTAGGAATAAATTAGAAAACATTGACTTTATAGTTGCATAACTTTCACTTTTATGATGCTTAAATACCTTTATGGAAATAAATATAAAATTCATTACTAAATTAAGATCTATAAGATGGGAGCCAGGGATTTAGCTTATTGGTGTAGTACCTGCCTGGCAAGCATGAGGTCCTGAATTCGATTCTTGGTACCAAAAAAGAAGATCCATAGGATGATGTTTTCTATTTATTATTAAAGTGAGTTTTAGTCAGACACCAAAGGCAAAACCAAAATTCCATTAAGAAGTAAAACATTTTTAGCATTTATAAAAACCATTTTTAAAATTTGATTTATATTTTTACTGTAATTCCTATTCATAAAGCCATATTCTTGACAGATTTCTGGAATGTACAACATTGATGCAGTGCAAGCCATGGCCTTTGATGGCTGTTACCATGACAGTGAAACTGACATGGACCAGACTTCCTTTTCTCTCCACTCTGAAGAGGACTCTACAAGAGGAAGAGCCACAGGCAGCCCCAGCACAGACTCATCTGAGATAAAGAGGAGGAGATCCTTCGGAGGAAATATTGGTAGAATCATCCTGGAAAACAACCATTCCATTGATACCTATTCTAGAATTTTATTTCCCATTGTGTACATAATCTTTAACTTGTTTTATTGGGGTATATATGTATGAAGAGGTCTCTCTCTCTGTCTCTCTCTCTCCTCTTTCCAGCACTGGCATAAGAAAGCACATGCTAGGCAAGTGCACTGTCTCTGAGCCACATCCCCTAGCATGAAGAGGAATTCCTAATGTATAAAAACTTGCACTGGAATCACATGTTTACTTATAAACCCTTGAATATAAGTTGTACAGTACAGATTGTACTTGGAGAGACCTAGTAACATCTCTTGGCCTAAAGAAGATTTGAGAGCTGACTGATTTAAATCTAGGAAAGTGTTCAAACTCCTAGGAGAATTTGACTCCATAAATAAGAGTTACAAGAATGTGTATTTAGAAAAGCTAAATACGGAATTCCATATGGAATTCCATAAATACGGAATTCCATATGGAAGAGCTTTTTAACTACTTCATTTGGGCCCTTCTGGTCTCTTAATGAAAATGTTCTTTATTTAACTAGGGAACAAAATTGGACAATGCCATTAATTCAAGGGTAATTAATTTCTTAGGGTCAGCCCTGGGTCAGACTACCCAACAAGTTTAAGTCCTTGTAGAAAAGAATATTTACATTAAGGTGGTGCCATCCTCATTGCTGGGGGTCTTGTGGAGGGCCCTGTTCTTCCTCCAATCAAATCTTTTGTCTCTTTTAAGTTTCATATATTATTTAGTCCAAGAAGGGAAAATACCTAAACTTCACCCAGTCTTCCCTCTTAATATGTATTAATTCATACTCCAATCATCAACAATAGCATCTAGCATATGTGAGATGAAGTGATAGATTTTGTAGGTTTTCATGGGTATTTAAGTTATTATTTTATTCATCAAATGGCTATTGGCCAACTACACGCACCAGAAACTTTATTTGGTTTTATGTACTGAAAAATGAATATGAAAAAAATTCATTTCTTCCATCCCTGAGTGTACAGCCTACCAGGTATAGTGAACTGGCTGATAAATCAATGTGAAGAGTGTTAACAGGGAGGTATGTACACTATTCTGTGTAAACTTTGAAAAGGGTTTACCAAAAGAAAGTGAAGAACATCTGCAAATGTTGACTCTCAACCTATAAACAACTGAAGATGCTGTTGTATACTGTATTGAGTAAAAAGATTGAATAACATTTACATAGCCCATAGTAATCATTAGTAACTTTGGTTGAATTGGGTAAATCAGGTCAAGTAGGTATTAGATAAATGTTTGTTAAGTAGAAAATCCTCCAATGATCAGCATTTATTTTGCAATTGGCAGTTTGCATGGTTTCATATTGAGTATTTTGTGAAAAGACACAGTTTTTACTTGATAGGAAGGTGAAAATTTCTTATTTTTATTGCTAGGATTGAATTAAGAGAAATAAATTAAATGGTGTGTTATTTTCAGTGTATTTCCTTTTATTTTACCATAAAGTAAATCAAATTATTTTACACTGGTGAAGAAACAAGCAACATGCTTCTTGTTTACTGTCAACATTGGTCTGGTTCTTTGCTATAAATTATGCTGTGTTCTAGAACAGTTTTCCTTATCTGTGGAAACACTGAAGGAAAATTCTTTTCCTATTATGACTTTCTTCACTGGCAAGCTAATGCTGGAATACATCATTTTAGTTCTTAAAATACATTCTCCAAGCTTTTTAAAACTTTCCAAAGATTATGTTTTTCTAGGATACAGTCCAATATAGACCTAATAAATTTATTTAAACCTTTTCCCCATTTAACTGTAGATAGACTGTAAATAAATTTCTAAAACTACGGCTGGGGATTTAGCTCAGTGGCAAAAGCGCCTCCCTGGCATGTGTAAGGTCGTGAGTTCGGTTCCCGGTACCGGAGAAAAACCAAAAAAAAAAAAAAAAAATTTTTTTTTAAAACTATTTAATGACAAGCTTGATTTAATAGAGACAGTATTTTATATGATTATATCTTAGATAGTTGGAAATCTATAGTTACTATTTAGATTAGTACAATTGGCTTATGTTCCTGATTTCCACAATCTGTGTTTATAATTGATGTGAAAAAAGAAACCAACTTCAAACAGAACAAATCTACACTGTTCCTTTCCCCCAATTCTCTACTTCTTCGGATATTGCTGTTTTTCATATATTTAAACTATAACATTCAAGATGTTTAATGTTTCCCTGGCATACGCGTTTCACTACTTTAAATTAAATCCATCACTGGACACATCTGGCAGTCTAGGCCTGGAGGGTGCTTCTGTCACCCTCCACACACACACTTGGTGTTCCTCTTGAAGCACCCTCAGGCATACTTGTTGGACAATCACATATAATTTCTGTTAATGTCTAGAAATACAGGCATTGCATTTTTCAGAAAAAGATATCTAACAGTAATAAAATATGGTTACTGTTTTAGGGACTTATTAGAGCCTTCAGAATGAACACAGAGGATTTTAGCTACTTCTTTTCACATTGGTGGGTTGTAAAGACAGATCTGTTCCTGTTAGCTTCATTTCTATAAGAAAGTAACAAGATTTCTCCTTTCGTTTTTATTTTAAGAAGAATGAAACTATAGTTACCTGGGAAATATATAAGGGACAGTCAGATTATAATAGTTATCTCATCTCAATTTTCACTTCATTTACTGCTCACAATCCTGAACAGACTGTACGTGATTGTTCACTGAGGGATAAGCCTGGATAAAATTTGGGGATTTCAGAAATTATCTGCTTTCTCAGATTAAGAAGCCAAACAGCTCATAAACTGCCTAAATATAGAAATGGGCTGTTTTATAAAGATTCAACTAGAAAACTATGAAAAAGTATCTTTTAACTTAGTTTTTGGTGTGTTTTATTATTTAAAAATATAAAAATACTAATTGCCAAAGTATCCACCCAGAAGTAATCAGTACCTCTTTTAATATATGTTCTTAGAGGTTTTCTTTGCATAACCTATTTTTTCTAGGGAACAATTTTGTATAAGTACCTTCACTTACCGTCGGACTTCACATTCAACTCTGTCCAGGGTGAACAGATCCCCCAAACTAGGTGCCCGCAGATGTATAAGAAAAGTAAGAAAAACATCAAACCAAGAGAGCCAGAATTCTGTGATCAGGTGCTAGCTGCCTCTAGGACTGACTGACAGCGCCCCCCCCAATTACCATCTTCAGTAACCTTTTTTTCAGAATCCACCCAGGAGGCAACAGAGGAATTCGAGAATATCAACTGTTTTAGCACGACAATACAATTCAATTATCATAGGAATGCGACCTGACCAGTAAGCCATCCTGTTATCTTCCTTTGCCCATATCTCAGCAAAGCATCTAGGATTGATCCAGGCGCTTGCAATGCTTATGCTAGACTTCCTCCAGAATCTAAGAATCATGGCTTGGTCAGGCCTCAGGCAATACACAAAAGAGTAACTAAAGAATGTCCTTCTCCACAACTTACTGATTTTAGCACTTAAATTGTAGCAACCCTATATAACCCTTATTAGTCAATAAAGAATAATTAGAAGTAAAATTATTTTAGAAACAAATGAAATTTCTAGCCATACTCATATTTCAGCATTCACTTCCTTTATAAGAATACCTGTTGCTATTAGAAACTGCCATATTAGACTATTTGACCATCTCAAAAGTTCTGGGAGATAGATTACTGTGAGAAGAAACCTTTTTATTTTTAGTTCATTTTTATCTGAGGCAGAACTGGCATCTCCCTTCCATTCCATCCCATCAACCTTGATTTTTGCCCCAGAAAACTGGCATTCCATTTTTGTAATGAAAACTTTGGCACTGTATAAAATGGTTTTATTAAACCAATCCTATTTACTTAAAGCTTCCTTCCTTTTATGACTACTCCCAGTTCAAGCTTTTGCCATCCTTGTAAACAAGAAGATAAGTAGAACTGCAAATGTTTGTACACAAGTTGCCACAAAGTCAGAATTAGTGAACACATAGTCTTAATCCTCGTAGGTGTGTTAGTCTTGATAAATAACGTGTATCATTTATTGTGTCACTCATAGATCTATTCAAATATATACACACGTGTGTGCACACATACACTTATGTACATATATTTTTTAACACAGAGATTAATGAGAAAAGAAATTATATCTAATTCTATAGTCATTGCTAAGATAAACTTTCCAATGAGATCAAACACACACAAAAAAGCAAGAAAAAGGCCACCTTTTCCCTGTAAACTTTGCTTTAAAACATTATTATTCTACACATTTCTGCTTAATCTCAAAGTCCTATCATTTCTCAAAGGGCAATTTGACACCCCTGGATTTAAGAGAGAACTTAAACATTTTTTCTTTCCTTTAAAGAAATCAAAAGACATTGTTGGCTCTTTAGAGTTTGTTTTAGTCAAGCTCTTGTAATAGGAGAATCATGTATTAATGAGGAACAACCCAGAGAAAAGGAAGGGACCTAGGGGTGGCAAGGAGGCAGGAAAACAGAGTGTGTCACATTCTCTGGGAAGGGACAGAAGTGGGTCTTAGAATACAGTAATTAAGAGCACAATGGTCTTTTCCCAGAGTACAAAATGATGAGAGGATTTCTTGACCTCCTCTACTTCCTAGGAACATAGGGACCCAAAGTTCAATCTTGTACCAACAATATTGTCACACAATCACCCATTTCAACCTCCTGCCAATCCTACTAGTTTTTGTCCTAGAATGGAACCAAGTATGTAAGAGATATTTCACAAAGCGAGAAAAACTGTTAATACTTTTCAACATATTGATACTTATTACATAAAACATTGAACTAAGTTTTATTATAAGAACACTCAAAGGATGAAATAGTACCTTTAATCCTGGGAACAATACAATTCATTATAGAAATGTATTTTCTGCAAGGACACTTCAAGGGAATTTCTTTACAAAATGGCAGAGCAGTGAGTGCTAGCAACTCAGCTTCTCCAGGACAAAGTGTCTGTGACCTGGAAACCAACAGCTTAGAGAAGAACTGAAGTGAGTGGAGGGTACATGGGAAGCACAAGGGAACTGACAGAGGCAAAAACAGGATTAAGTGATTCAGAAGAAGCAGACCGTGCTGCAGAGGAGACACTGAGCAGCCACACCACCAACAGCAGCTGGGTGCCTGTCAGCCAGGGTGCAAAATGAAAGTAACAACCTTTGTGCTCACAGAGAACTGCAGACAGCAGGAAGAATGTGAGACATGGCTTCCCAAGTGGCCCTCCAGAGTCAACAAATGGTCAGTGACTGTGGTGCAAGTACACCAGGACATGTTCTGGACTCACAACCAGAATCGAACCAAATGGTACCTACCGACAAACACCAAGACGCACGGACCACCAATTGGAATTTAGGATGAGCTGTTATTTTTGGCCAGGGACTAACTGAGAGCCTCCACGCAGGGAAGGATCAGATCAGTCTCGATCCAGAGAAGAGAGTAGCTTTTAAACCCTAAAACCGCATCCTGTTTGGCAAACACATGTCACATGTCACATCTGTAACAATGAGGGGATTCTCTTTTTTTTTTTTTTATGGCAGAAACAGTACATTCCGAGAATCCGGGAAGGGTAGAGCATTTAGGGGAAGAACAATACGTTTTGGGAGTCCAGGAAGGGCAGGGCGTTTACAACTAGTTTACAACCACGCATTCCAGAAATGGTAAACATGAAGATCTAACCCCATGGCAGGGGTGGGAACTGAGAATTAAACTAGAACCTTTCATGTGTGTAGTGGGGCTTTTACATTCCCCACTGATTTTAGGATGGAATCATATCCTTGATTCAGAGGGTTCTTCATTTAGGGGTAACATGTCATATTGGGTATGGAGGGCCATTAACTTTACAGCTTGAATTCTTCACCAGATATAGTTCATGATACAATTAATGGCACATGGTCCTACTGTAGCAAGTAGGAGGATTAACAGTAAGGGACCAATTAAGGCTGAAAGCAGAGTAGTCAACCATGGAGACATACTAAAGAGCCCCTCATACCAATTTTGATTTTCCTTTTTTTGTTCTTCCCTGTCTTGGAGTCTTTTCCTAAGTCTATTTAGACTATCTTTTATAACTCTGGAGTGATTAGTATAGAAGCAACAAGCTTCACCTAGGGCTATGCAGAGACCCCCCTCTTTAAGGAACAGCAAGTCCAGACCTCGCCAGTTTTGTAAGACCATTTCAGCCAGGGACCCAAGAGACTCCTTAAGTTTTGTAACTGAATTCTCTAGAGTGGCCAGGTCTTTATCGATCTGGGCACTAAGGTCTCGGTAATTTTTATCTTGGAGGATAAGTGCAGAGGAGCCTATGGCAGTTGACCCCGCAAGTCCAATTCCCAGCAAAGCAGCTGGGCCCTTTTTGTTCTAGGGAGATCCACCCGAGAGAGATGTTCTTGACCTCCTTCTCCAGAATAATAATATACCTATGGGAAAATGTGTGTCAGAATGCAGAGTTCAAGGGATTGGGTGGTGACAGAAGAAAACAGACAAGGAGTGATTCCTGAGGTGAAAGCAAACCAAGTTCCCTGGGGTGCAGCCAAATGTTGTGTGGGACTGTAAGTTATATTTTTAATGGAGACAGAATGGTCACAAAGGGCGCGATAAGGTGACTTGACTAGGGAGTATGCTTCAGAGTGAAAGCAGATGCCTTCTCCCTGGATACTTCCTAAAGTTAGAATGGGCCTTTGGCCCTACCAGCAGGGTGAGTTAGCTGCAATGGTACTGGAAATTTTAATGTCCTGGGGTTGAGACCCGATAGAAGCATTAGCACAAGTCCAACATAAAATGGGGGTGAGGGGTCAAGGCATAGCCAACAATCCTCAGTCATATTGGGGTTAGACCTATTTAGATAGGAGAACATAATATCTAGTGGAAGTAAAAGGGGGGAAACCGGAGGACTAGTTTGAAGCAAACTCTGAGTTGAAGGGGAGGACATCGAAACGGGCTTGGAAGAGGGGTGGACAGGCTGCAAGATGGGCACTAAGGGCCCCAGGGGCAATGTTGGTGAGTTAGGGTTGTTATTTACTCTCATTTGGATAGTTAGCCAGAATCCTGGGTCATATCCTTTGACATATAAACATACTCCCCAGGTTTTTCCTCCTCTCCAAGACGGATGGTCAGGTTGTAGGAAAGTTAGAATAAGAGGATTACACTGATTTAACCAACAATTATCTGGGCCTCTAAGCCTGGTGATCTTTAGAAATTGGTCAGTGTGCCTCCAGTGTGCCTCCAGGGTGCTACTGATTCACAGCCCCAGTAATAACAACTACATACCTGGTGTCCTCCACATTCAGTATCAGCATTAGGGGTAAAAGTGGGGCAAGCATAAAACTCAACGTCTCTTAATGCCCGTTCTGCGTTCGCTGCCAGGCTACAGCCTATGAAGGACTCTCGTTTCCTAGAACTTCTGGCCCATTTTTCTGCTAGACCCACCTTTGCTGCATCATGGTGGGTCCAGGTACCAATAAGTTGACATAAATCAAACCTGAGTTCTGGGTACACGGTGTTTTCAGCTATCCGGTGGCCGTCAAGGGAAGCAGTGGCCCACCAGGTGCGAAGAAATGGACGGTGGGGTCCAGCCGTGGTTGCAGGAGCAAGAAAATGGCATACAATAGAAATATAAATCAGTCTGTAGTACGTTTCAGTTTTACTTGTAATGGGTCGTCTGTGGCTTGGACCCTCCATGCTGACTCGGAATCAGGCCTGACGAAAGGCTTGACGTGGGAGTGGTGGATCCAAGAGTCCTTCCTGGCGACTTTGATCGAGGTGGGAGTGCTGAGGACGACCATGTGTGGGCCTGTTCAGCGACAGTCCAAGTTGTGAGAGTCCCTCTTTTTAACCCAGACTAAGGAACCAGGCTCTGCGATGGGTGGGGAGTTCAGTTGGTCAGTGCTCAGTGGGTGATGTTCCCTGAAGAGGCGATGGGCCTCTTGAAGTACTGGCTGTAGAACCTGGAGGGACTTAATGAGATCTTGGTTATGTATGGTTTCAGAATGGACATTATGGAGCCTGGATACCAGAGGAGTGGGTCTCCCATACATAGCCTCGAAGGGAGTAATACCTTGGATGTAGGGGGTACATCGTGCATGCAGGAGGGCAAAAGGTACGAGACTCACCCAATTTTTGCCAGACTCCAGAGCCATCTTGGAAACTGTGTCCTTGATGGTTCTATTCATACATTCTACCTGTCCAGAACTTTGAGGCCGGTAGGCACAGTGGAGCTTCCAATCAACCTGTAAACACTCAGCTAAATTTTGGGTTATCTGAGCTATGAAAGCAGGACCATTATTGGACCCCATTACTAAAGGCAGACCAAATCGAGGCACAATCTCAGACAGCAATTTTTTGGTTACAATCAAAGCCGACTCAGTCCTTGTAGGAAAAGCCTCAGGCCATCCTGTAAAAGTACCCACTAAGACTAGTAGATATTTGTATCCATGGCATCCAGGACCCATCTCAGTGAAATCTATCTCCCAGTGTTCTCGTGGATTTTGTCCTCTCTGTCGTTGTTGAGGGTGATCACCAGATGATTTGCCCTTGGGATTTACTTGAGCACAGTGGGGGCATCTTAGACTAATGTCCTTGGCTTTGGCTGTAAGATTAGGAATAAAGTAAGTTTTCCGGAGCAATTGAGCAAGTTTAGTTCCCCCTAAATGCGTGGCTTGATGAGTCTCTCGTAGTATCTGGGCCCCAAGTGTTTCTGGAGGAGAAAGCGACCATCAGGGAGGATGTGCCATCCATCAGCATTATCTTGGGATCTTAGGGTTGCTGCTAACTTTATGTCCAAATCAGAATAAGCTGGGGTAGCCAGCCAAGGCAGGGGGAGGGTAACCACAGCCAATGCAGTGGACCCCACTGATTTTAGCGCAATCTGTTTGGCAGTGGAGTCTGTCAATTGGTTCCCTCGGGCTACTGGGTTGTCTTCCTTTTGGTGGGCCTTGCAATGTATTACTGCAACCCTCTTGGGCTCCCAAATAGCTGCTATCAAGTCCAAAATTTCGGAGGCATTTTTGATGGCTTTTCCCTCCGAGGTTAACAGGCCTCGTTCTTTATAAATGGCCCTGTGGACATGTAGAGTGGCAAAGGCATATTTACTGCCCATATAGATATTGACAGACTTGTCTTTGGCCCATTTTAGGGCTTGAGTCAAGGCTACAAGTTCAGCCTTTTGTGCAGAGGTGTGAGCTCCTAGGGGCTCTGCCCAAATTACCTCAGTTTCAGTAGTGACAGCCGCCCCCGACACTCGAGTACCTTCATGGAGATAGCTACTTCCGTCTGTGAAGAGTGTGGCATCCACTTGGGACAAAGGCACATCGGTCAGGTCTGGTCTGAAGTTAGTGACGGTCTGGAGAACGTCAAGGCATTCATGAGTTGGCCCATCTGGATTATCATCAGGAAGCCACGTGGCAGGGTTGAGGGAAGTTGCAAGCAGGAAACAAATTCGATCTGGATCCAGCAACAAAGCCTGATACTGAACGATCCTGGCATTTGATAACCATCTTTCAGGAGGGCTGTTTAAAAGAGGCTCAAGGGAGTGGGAGGTAACCACATAAAGTTGCTGACCAAAAGTTAGCTTAGTTGCTTCCTTGATAACAGTAGCAGTAGCGGTGAGGGTCCATAAGCAATTGGACCACCCAGCAGCCATGTGGTCTAGGCACTTAGAAAAATAGGTCACTGGCCACTTCCAAGGACCCAGATATTGAGTGAGGACCCCCTTTGCAATCCCATGGGCCTCCGCTACGTGGAGCTGAAAGGGCTTGGTCAGGTCCAGCAGGGCCAGAGCAGGGGCCGAAATTAAAGCTGCCCATAGCTTATCAAAGGCCTGTTGTAACTTTTCAGTCCAATCAAGAGGCTCAGATGTGTCTCCCTTGGTGGCCTCGTACAGTGGCTGAGCCATTTCTGTGAACCCCAGAATCCATTCTACAGTACCCCACAGTTCCTAGGAACTCTCGTATCTGTCGCTTGGACTGGGGTGGGGGTATGTTTAGGATGGCCTTAATGCAGCTATCAGAGAGCGTTCGGGTGCCCCCGGCGATAACATAGCCCAAGTATGTTACTTTAGTTTGGCACAATTGTGCCTTCTTAGCGGAGACCCGGTAGCCTAAGCAGGCTAATTCTCGTAGGAGATCCTCCGTTGCCTCTTGGCATGTTTTCTGGGTATCTGCGGCTACCAAAACATCATCTACATATTGGAGAACAGTCACCCGTGGGTGGAAGGCACGACAATCCTGAAGGTCTCTGCTTAGAGCCTCATCAAACAGGGTGGGGGCATTCTTAAATCCTTGGGGGAGCCACGTCCAGGTTAAGTGTCCTGACTCCCCAGTTAACGGGTCAGTCCATTCGAAAGCAAAAATGGGTTGACTGACCGGTGCCAAAGGAAGACTAAAGAAGGCATCTTTTAAATCCAAGACAGAATACACAGTCCTATCAGGAGGGAGAAGGCTGAGGAGGGTGTATGGGTTGGGTACAGTGGGGTGAAGGGTTTCCACCCGTCTGTTTACCTCTCAGAGATCCTGGACAGGCCAGTAGTCATTGGTGCCGGGCTTCTGGACTGGGAGCAGCGGGGTGTTCCAGGGGGACTTGCAGGTGACCAGGATCCCAAAGAGTCTCAGTCTTGAGATGTGTTTAGCTATGCCCTCCCGAGCTTGTTGACTCAGTGGGTACTGTCGGACTCGCACAGGCACAGCAGTGGGAGGGAGGGCTACCACAATTGGGGGCTGATGGGAAGCCAAGCCGGGAGGATTGTCCTCCGCCCAAACTTCAGGTATTTGTAATTTCCATATTTCTAGAAGCTGGTTAGACATTTGTTCTGGGGCTCCCAGGGGTTCTGTGGTAAGTATATGTCCCTCTGTGAGAGGACAAGTAAAATAGCAGGGGGCTGAATCCTGTTGGTAAAAGTCACAGTTGGGCTTTCACCTGCAAAAGAGATCTGGGCCTGTAACTTATGTAAAAGGTCTCTCCCAAGCAGTGGGTAAGGACACTCAGGCATGACCAAAAAGGAGTGGGTCAAAGTTTGTTTTCCTAGGTCCGTTATGTCGCCTGTGACTGGGGTAGGCCTTAGTTTTACCAGTTGCTCCCTGAATGTTAGTCTTTATAGAAGACAGGGGTCTAATGGGCTGCTGAAGAATGGAGAAGGTGGCACCCGTGTCCACAAGGAACTGGACCTCTTGGCCCCCCATGGTAAGGGTTACCCAGGGCTCCTGGGGGCCAGGGGTGCCCTGACTTCTTCAGTCTGTTTCTCGTGTACTCAAGATTGTGGGACCTTTTTCTTTAAGCTTTAGACAGTCCTTTTTCCAGTGACCCTGTTCCTTGCAATAGGCGCACTGATTTTTTCCTAGGGAAGGTCTTTTATCTTTGGTCCCAGTCATGGACTTGTTTGTTCCTTTTGGGGGCTTTTCTCCCATGGCCAACAAACCTTTCGCCATTCTTTTGTTTAGTTCCGGGGGATCCTCCTGGTTATTAAAGACCTTTTGAGCCACTTCTACCAATTCTGAGAGTGCCTTTCCCTCAAAACCCTCTAACTTTTGTAACTTCCTCCTAATGTCTGGGGCCGATTGGGCAACAAACACTATGTTAAGAGCTCGCCTGTTTTCTGGTGCCTCCAGATCAGTTGGAGTATACATACAATAAGCCTCTTGGAGGCTCTCAAGGAACGCTGCCGGAAACTCATCCGGCCTCTGACTGACTTCAGTTACCTTAGACAAATTAGTTGGCTTGCAGGCTGCAGCCTTAATGGCACCAAGAAGAGTCTGGCAATACCGAACGAGAGCCTCCTTACCTGCATTTCCACTGGGATTCCAATCTGGGCGAGCAGATGGGAAATGTTGTTCTACTAGTCTAGGATCGGTGGCAGGTTGGCCGTCAGGTCCAAGAACGGCCTTTCGCCCATGGGAGCAGACATGTTCTCGTTCCTCTGAAGTGAATAGGACCCATAAAAGCTGTTGGCAGTCATCCCAGATGGGGCGGTAGGCGGCAAATATTGTCCCAATAAGAGATATCAAAGCTTGGGGATCCTTTGAGAAAGGCAGGTATTGCTGCTTCCAGTTAAACAAGTCAGTGGTTGAAAAAAGAACATGAATTAGGAACGGGCCCCCCTGCGAGCTAACCCAACAGCAAAACAAACTAAAACCAAACAAACCAAAACCAAACCAAAGTCTCTCCGGCACTTAAAGGCACGTCTGCCACCCAAGAGATCCAAATGGGGCGCCCCCCAAACAAACAAATCAAACTCTTACCGGTAAGAAGACAAACGGCTCCAAGTCGAATAGAAAGAATTTAGTCTTTACCCTAGGCAGGGGAGCCTGTCGAGGCCGAGGCACATCTTCTCGGGGAGCCCCCTGACAGGTGGCTACCAGGGGTAAAGTGATCCGGCTTGGTAGCACCCCCATAGGGGTCTCGGTGGAACCTCCAAAATGTTCTGGACTAGCAACCAGAATAGAACCAAATGGTACCAACCAACAAACACCAAGATGCACGGACCGCCAACTGGAATTTAAGATGAGCTGTTATTCCTGGCCAGGGACTGACTGAGAGCCTCCCCACAGGGAAGGATCAGATCAGTCTCGATCCAGAGAAGAGAGTAGCTTTTAAACCCTAAAACCGCATCCTGTTTGGCAAACACATGTCACATCTGTAACAATGAGGGGATTCTCTTTTTTTTTCTTTTTTTTTTTAATGGCAGGAACAGTACATTCCGAGAATCCGGGAGGGGTAGAGCATTTAGGGGAAGAACAATACATTCTGGGAGTCCAGGAAGGGCAGGGCGTTTACAACTAGTTTACAACCACACATTCCAGAAATGGTAAACATGAAGATCTAACCCCATGGCAGGGGTGAGAACTGAGAATCAAACTACAACCTTTGATGTCTGTAGTGGGGCTTTTACAGGACACAGTTGCATGGAGCAGACACTGGTGGGGATGGCACTGTAGGGAAGGGCTGGGTGTTTGAGCCTTGCTTCCACAACACCAAGGTTAGCTGCTTCACACTGCCAAGTTCCCAGAGTAGCTGAGCGAAAGAGAGTTGGGGAAGACTGGGGGATCCTGCTGAGAGGTGGGGACTGGTGATCACACAATTGTCTCCTGCAGAGGCCAGGTTCAGCCTAAGCCACAGGACTGGAAGATCACGTTAGTGTTGGTTTCCTACTGTAGGCAGATCCCCACATTTAGCACCTTCTGAGGGCAAGCTGCCACCTTAAACTTGCAGCATGAACAGAGACATGGCCTGGCTTGAGCTCTGCTACTTAACCCAAGCCAGAGAAAAGGGGCCACGTGGCCAAAACAATAGAAAACTTTCTTTTACTTTTCTTTATTTGATTGAATTATTTTTATTTTACTTTGAAAATTTTTCACTCTTTGCTATTTTCCTCCTTCTGTACATTTTCCCCTCACACTTTTATTCCATTACTTTACAGTCTTGTTTTCTGAGTATGTCTATGAATGCTTTGATTACTCTTGACCTTTTTTTCCCACAGTATAGTTTATAGAGGGTAAGGGAATTCCCCTTTGTAAACTTGTATCCCTCCTGGCTTTACACATCTCTTCATCTGACCTCTTTCTTTTGTGTTTTATTCATTTTCAATTTTACTTTTCTTTCCACTGCACCTTTTAAATTGTCTCCTTTAAACTTTTTCTCAAATATTTATATCAATCATAGAATCTTTTCCAACCCCCATTTACCACTACTAATTTTGTACCTGGTTTTCTCCTTTATTTCTTTCTGAATATATAACAACATAATATTCATAGGATCCTTAGCACCCCTCATTTCCTCCTTCCCATTCCACACAGTGGAGGACTTTTAAAAAATTCACCGCCAACCCCTGCTTTTGTCTTTTTCCCTTCTCTTTCTCTCCCTTGGTGTTACCTGGTCCCAACGCCCATGCTTTCAATAACTCATTCTATAAAATTACTATTCAATGCTATTTTTCACCAGTAGGGGAGACAGGGTGTCTTAGTCACTTGCCTCTTGGTGAGACAAAATTCCCAACACCCATTACTTAGCTCATATTTTGCTATGAGTTTAGCATTGGTTTATTTAGCTCATAGTTTGTAGAGGTTTCAGTCCATAATAAGCTGGCTCCAAAGCAGGGTGGCACATGGCAGACAGGAAACAGTTCACAGTTGTAGAAGACAGCAAAAGCAATGAGAGGGAGAGAGACAGAGAGAGGACAAGACTCTTTCCCTTCCTTACAGTGTATACAGGCTATCCACCCTAAGGAGAGGGAAGCACTCACATCCTTAATCTTAGGATTGGACCATGAATCATTCACAAACTCTAGATTCAATCACCTCTGAAAAGCTGATCCCCCACGACTACATGAGACTTTGTGGGGGGGATATAGACATAAACCATAACACACAACCATCACATTTAATGCACATTAATTGTGAATCAAAACTTGGGTTGTTATGATGCTTACACTCTAGCTGTGGATCTCTTCTCTAGGCTAATGGGAGACCCAAAACAAGGTCTTATTGTTGTTTCTCAACTAGCTCTAATACTGCTATAATAGATAAGCCTGTAACTGCTTTAGTTGAATTGATTGCAAAGGAATAATCTTTACTCAGTGGATGATTTAGTGCCAGTGAATTTGTCTGCCCAAACCACCATCACACCTGGGAGCCTGGCAGAAAGAGATCCTGAGTCTGAGTTAACATCAGTACTATGGTGGAGGGATTGGAGGAGTTATTGGGGTGTGAGCCCTCAGACTCTCTGGCAAAGAAGCTACTTAAGAATCACAAATGTGTTGTTTCTTTGGAATGTCTAACTTGTGTTCCCATTAGACATATAATTGGATTGAATTTTTATATGTTTCTTAATTTATTTAGTAACATGGTGTTATGTTAGGTTTATCTATGGTTTCATGTGTTTATTAGGTTGATAATATTATTAACACATTTCCTCATTTTCTTCCAAACACATAAATCCTAGCTCCCAAGTTTTAAACTCCCCACACTTAGCTCATGCACAGTAACTCCTATCTTCATTAGTATTGTTCCTCAGTTGTCCCCATGCTAAGCCTCTGGCTTTTCCATAACTTACCCACTTTACTGTCCTCCCTTTACGCAAGTTCTGACAACTATGTAGCTTTCCTCAATCACAAAATGAACCTCCTGTAAGCTTCTAATTGGATCTGACTCTCCCACCGCCTAACCTGCTTGCCAGCAGAGGCATTATTCTCAGCAGGGAACTCAGCTCAGCAACAAAGCTGTCATCATGAACCACAGGATATAGTAAAACAGATAAGAGAGAACAAGTAATTTTGTAGGCCCCTGATCTGCAGACACCTAAAGATTTATACCAGATGTTTCAAGGACTTGGCCCACTGAGGTGCAAGACAGCCAGAGAATTGTGACCACAGATGTTTATTAAAAAATCTTCCTGCCTACAGAGCCATTATAATCCCTGACTTGAAATTATACTACAAAGCTACTGTGGTAAAATCAGCATGGCACTGGCAAAAAAACAGACCTGAAGATGAAGGGAACAGATTAGAAGATGCAGACAAAACTACAAACACACTCAACCACCTTATCTTTGACGAAGGGGCCAAATATGTTCACTGGAAGAAAGATAGCCTCTTTAATAAATGGCGCTGTAAATCCTGGCTCTCCACATGCTGAAGACTAAAACTAGACCCATGTCTATCACCACACACTAAAGTAAAGTGAAAATGGATTAAAGATCTAAATATCAAAACAGAAACACTAAATATACTGGAAGAGACAGTAGGTAAAAATCTAGAAGACACAGGGATAGGCAGAGAGTTTATGAACAAAAACCAAACTGCATGGGAAATACTTCAAAGAATCAACAACTAGGACCTCATCTTATTGAAAAGTTTTTGCACATCAAAAGAAGTCACCAGAACATCTTCAGGAACCCCTGTGAGTCACCCCCGTGCCTTCCCCACCAGCATGCAAGGCAGGCAGAGCCCCAGACACCTTCTGGGGTCTCGGTGGCCACTCCCATCATTCCCTGCAAACCCATGGGAGTCAAGCTGAACCCAAGACAGCATCAGTAGCCTTGGTGACTCTGCCTCACCACTCCCCCACCAGCACAGGAACCAAGCTGGTCCTGGGCAACCTCTGAAGCCTCGGTGACCAAGACTTGAGATCCCCTCACACTTGTGGAAGCTGGGCTGAACCCCAGAGAGCTTCAGGGAGCTTCAGTGAGCCTCCCCTGCCCCTATCCCACTGGCCTAGGAGACAACTGAATGAAGGAAAGATTTGGGAGCATCTGCGACCGCACCTTGTGCCTACACACCAGAGCAAGACACATGCTCAGTACTGGGGACCTTCAGATCCTCAACTCAACACACCCACACCATTGTAGGAGTGAGGCTGAGCTCCAGGGAACTTCTGGATCTTCAAAAAATGAAAAAACAAAGGAGTAAAATGAAATCTCAGACCTCTACCCCACTAAGAACAAATCCAGGAGATATTGACACAAAAGAGCATGGAAATCAGGCAAAACCGCTGAACAAAGCAGAAGATAGACTTTCAGACCTTGAAGACAGCATTGCCATTAATGACCATGAAAGGAAGGATCTCTTAAAAATAACAAGGAACCAGGAAATAACAATTCAACAACTCAAGATGAAGCAAAGGAAAACAATATAAGAACAGGTGTAAACAAAACAGGTGTCAACACAAATGACATGGAAAGACTGTTTGCAGAAATAGTAGCAGAAAATTTCCCAAGTGTGAAAAAAAAATTGGACATACACTTACTGGAGCATATAGAACTCCAATTAGCCATAATCAAAATAAATTTACACTCAGACATATAGTGATTAAGATCTCAGAAATTCAACAAAAGGTCAGAATATTAAAAGCTGTTAGAGAAAAGAAATAGATCACCTATAAAGGAAAGCCCACGAGAATCATGGCAGATTTCTCAACACAAACCATCAAGTCAAGAAGAGTTTAGAGTGAGGTATTTCAGGTAGTGAAAGAAAACAACTTCCAATGCAGACTGATGTACCCTGCAAAACTATCCTTCAAAATTAATGGAGAAATAAAATATTTTCATGACAAAGAACTGAAGAAATTGATGAGCACCAAACCACCCCTACAAAGAGTACTGAAAGATATTCTAGAAAGAGATAAAGCAGATCACAACTTCAGGAACAACAACAGAGAGGAAGCACCAAGCAGAGCAAGCAGTTAAACAGAGGGAAAAAGGGGGAATCCAACAGCAGGAAAATAACATGACAAAGATAAGCCAATAAATATCAGTTATAAGCATCAATGTAAATGGTTTCAATTCACCAATCCCAGGAAACAAATTGGCAGACTGGATCAAGAAACAAAATCCAACAATATGCTTTATACAAGAAATACACTTAACTCCAAAGGAAATTCATACACTGAAAATTAAAGGA